CTCCTGACACAGGCCCTCTCAGCCACTCATTAATTTTATCCCAGTTGGGTGAGATTTTATCTTACTTGGACCTTCTGACTCCAAACCATGTATCCTTGTTTTACTGATATTCACACTGCCATCACTGTGCTTGTGGGGTAAAGGATTGTGTCTGTGAACAGTGATCATGGAGTGGGGGATTGTGATTGTGAACAATGCAGTTGGAAGAGAGTGAGGAGGAGGTGAGGGTGCTAAAGATAGTGCAAGGAGAATAATGTCTACACCAAGAGCTAGCACTTCAGCAAAAACTTAGTGTTTCTGAGTGTTCCATTTCCCTTCAAAGAGGAAATAAAAAATAGAGGGCAGATGTACTGTTTTAGGCTCTCATTAATTTCTTGCGTATAATTCATAGTTTGCCAAGGACTTGTATATGTGTGGACTTTTAAAATCATTTGAAAGTGTTCAACTCAATGATTTTTAGTAAGTTCTGCAATCAGCACAGTCTAATTTTAGGACATTTTTATCAGCCACCAGAAAAACCCTATACATTCCCTCTTCATTCCCCTAACACTAAGTGACCATGAATATACTATCTGCCTCAGTATTTGCCAGTTATAGACATTTCATTTAAAAGAATATGGCTTTTCATTTATCATGAATGTTTTTAAGATTAATACATATTGTAATTTATGTCAGTACTTGACTGCTGAATAATATTCCATTGTACAAGACATACCACATTTTATTAGTGGATCATTTGATGGGCATTTGGATGTTTCCACTCTTTGGCTATTATGGGTAATGCTAAGAATATTCACATGCAAGGTATTGCATGTTTATCTAAGCTATATACCTATGAGTGAAACTGATAGATCAAATGCAGTTTCTTTAACTTTCTGAGGAAAGCAGCTTTTTTTCTTGAGATACATTTTACATACCACAAACTTCACTCACTTAAAGCATATATTTCAAAAGGTTTTCATACATGGACAAATTATATAACCATCACTACAGTCTATTTTAGAAATTTTTCATTGCTCCAGAAAGAAACCTCAGTCATCAGCAGTTACTCTCTGGTCCCATTCCCAGGCATCCCAGGGAGTTTCAGTGTTTGCAACTTTTCACACAGATTAAAGCATGCTTCTTCCCACGTAGCACAGTATTTTTAAAGCTTATCAAAACAGTACACATTCATGTGTATGGCTGAATAATAGCCCTTGATGTCGAATACCACATTTTATTTAGCCATTCATCAGTTAATAGACATTTGGGCTATTTCTACTTTTTGGACATCATGCATAGTTTTGGACATCCATATACAGTTTTTTGGTGTGTATTTCTTCAGTTTGATCATCTTAGGAGCCCTCTATGATTATAGAAGGGATGGTGGTCCTAGTATCTTTTCATACCAAAGCAACTGAGGCTGTGATTCGTTCACAATCAAACAGCAAGGTCAAGGAGACCCATAAAAAGGGTCAAATCTCTCAATTGTTAATCTAATAACTTTTTCTATTACGTGTGCCATACCATGGAGCTTCTGTGAAATGTTCAGTTCGATTTTTGAAAGTTTTCTGTAGTCGATGTGACATAGAGTAATGATAAAGTGATGAACGATACCAGTTTCAGGCCTAAGAATCAGCCCTGATTCCTGATGTGTAAACCACATCCCACTTACAGAAGACAATTGCCATCTGAAGGGAGCAGCTTTAGTGAGGAAAACAGTGCAGCCCAGAACCCTCCCTTCAGCTAATGGGAAAGTGGAGGCGGCCACTCCCCAGAACCTCATCCGATCAGTGGCAGACTGGAACCATGACCAGGCATATGCTGTCTCAGGTCCCTGGAAAAACCTTAAATTTTATACTGGCCTCTGGAATAAACTTGGCAATTATTTTTCATCAGTTAAGCAAGAAGACCCTGCATGAAAGTTTGGGTTTTATGGTGCTAAATTTGTTTTGCTGGGAATACTGTAACAAGTTACAGCAAACTAGGTTGCTTAAAACAGTATAAGCATATTTTCTGGCAGTTTCAAGGCTAGAGCAGTAGCAGTGCTGACTCCCTCTGGGTGCTCTAAGGGAGAATATGGTTCTACCTGTCTGCTAACTTCTAGTGGCTGCCAGCAGTTCTTGGCATTCTCCGGCTTATGGACACCTCGTTCTGTTCTGTTTCTTTGTCATCATATGGCATTTTTTCCTGTGTCTCTCTCTGTCTCCATTTCCTTTAGTAAGCACACCAGTCATTGGACTCGAGCCCGTCCTGGACTTCATTCTGAAGGTTGTGTTACTGAGAAAGTAGTGACTTATTATGCATTGTGTTTGTTGAGTTGTGCCACACACTGGGCTTTCTCCTGGGGATAAAACCATAAGAGTCAGTGTCTTTACTCCCAGTAAGGTTATAGAGTGCTGTCAAGAGTCAAGAGTGATGAGAGAGGTTGTCATGTTCCTGGAAATCCTCTGAAGCACAGTGAGCAAGGTGAGAAACAAAGTTGAAGAAAAAACAGGAAAGTGGTTTTATAGAGAGTGACAGTGGTTTCACAGAGAGACTTTTATAGAGACAGCACATAACCATGTGACATAACCATGACTTAGTTGTTAAGAAACAGGGCAGACACACAAATGACAGCCTGGCCTCTGGTTTGGAGCACATTGGAGGGTAATGTTTTTGTTGTTGTTGTTGTTTTTGGTTTTTTGGGGGATCCAGTCGTGGGGCCTGAACTCTGGGCCTGGGCGCTGTTCCTCAGCTCTTCAGCTCAAGGCTAGCACTCTACCACTTGAGCCACAGTGCCACTTCCGGCTTTTTTCTTTTTGCTTATGTGGTGCTGAGGAATCAAACCCAGGGCCTCAGGCATGCAAGGCAAGCGCTCTACCACTGAGCCACCTTCCCAGCCCCTGGAGGGTAATGTTGATGTGCTTCACGGAGATAGTGAGTATGAATTGGTGTGACATGGCTGAGCTTGAGCTGTGTGTGGACAGCTAAAACAGATGGGAGCACATACAGCAGGACATCCAGACAGAGAACTGGGCTAGAGACTGAGATCCTAGAGTTGTCATCACGTGGGTGGTAACTGAAGCTCAGGTAGAAAGGATTAGCTCCAAAGAGACCCTAGTATCCGTGTGAAGCTACAGGAGGGTATGGAGCTGAAGCCTAAGGAATGTGCCCATGAGAGGAACAGACAAGATGAGGAGGCCAGAAAGAGAACAGAGATACTCTGTTTGGATTGGAGGCTTACTCTGTGTGTGTGTGTGTGTGTGTGTGTGTGTGTGTGTGTGTGTGTGTGTGTGTGTGTGTGTGTGTGTACACACGTTCACGTGCTTATGTTTGCATGCGTGCAGGTCTTGGGGCTTAAATTAAGGGCGTGGACACTGTCCCTGAGCTTTTTTGCTCAAGGTTAACACTCTATAACATTCTACCACTTGAACCACAGCTCCACTTCTGGCTTTTTTTGTGTTTGTGGTTCATTGGAGATAAAGAGACTCACAGACTTACCTGTCCTGGCTGGAAAGATCTCAGCCTCCTGAGTCTCTAGAATTACAAGCGTGAGCCACCAGTGCCCAGATGAAGGTTTTCTTTTTGCACCTTCTCTGTGTCTTCTCAAACAGCAGCTGTGTTCCTCCCTTGGTGCCATGGCTTCTCCATCCCCTAGTATAAACCCTCTCTCCTCCACCATTAGAGAGTTCATCTTGCAAATCTAATGGAGTAATAAAGGCATTGATTCTGTTAACGAACATCCAGGCCACTACTAGACCTGTAATGAGAATTCATTTTGGAGGTCAATACAGCTGTCAATAGAACCATTTTCCCCAGGGTCCCATTGGTGTTTTCTCTTGTCACTGACAGAAGACGTCCTGACTAGAGAAATAATGTGAGGCACATTAATGAGCTGGTGATCCTGCCTAGAGTAGTGAGAATAGTATGACCTGGAATGGGTCAGATAACAGAGAAGAGCTAGAAAAATGATAGTCATTGAATAACCCTAGAATGCCACCCTCACCCTCACCTCTTCTTGAGTAAATGCTGGGGTTGTGAGCTAATAACATCATAATCACAGTTCTCAGACACCCAGAGAGACAGTGAAAAGAAGCCTGGCCAAAGGCTGTTGGAAGGTTTCAGAGAGATTTTGACACCCATGCAGGATCTTAGAGTTTCCATATGAGTTTGCTAGAAGAATAGAGAACAAACACAACATAAGCCAAAATAATCACAAAAGGGACTGCTTTGTGCAGGGACTTGATGATACTTCAGTGCGCCTTGTTTATGGGTGGAGAGAAATCAGGAAATAGGTCAGACTGAAAAGCCTGGTATGTTATGCTAAGGAATTTGGACTGAGCTCAGAGAGCCAGCCAAATGAATAATACCCTGAAGTTGGGTTGTCAAACTGTAAGTTATTTTCTTCCCTTAATACCTCACTTCCTTTCTAACAAACATACCCAAGGAGTTTGAGATTAGTTAAGAGAAGAAAAAAAGGAACCAAAGATAGAATTGAAGAACAGGGAACATAGCTGTCCTAGGAGGACTCAGAAGAGCAGGCCAGAGGAACTGGAGTCCAATCTGGAGGAAGAGCTGAAAATACACTTGCGCTTTTATTATTAATGCAAGAAAGCCCAGTCCAGAGCCTCAATTAGTGAGTCTTCAGGAAGTAATGCCTCATTTAACAAAGCCAGCTACTTTGAAGGACACGCTGACAGCAGAAGCCACCAGAGAGGAAGAAGCTATGAGTATCACTGCTCCAGGAGCTGGCTCTGCCTGTGGCTATGGTCATAACCTCTGGACGTTGGCAGCCTTTTCTCCTAGGGTGTAGCTGTCCCGGCCCTGTGGTAATAGACACTGACCTCCAGGCTGCTCCAGTAAAGAAGGCAAGAGCATTTTCCCTTCAGGACCAGCAGGAGGCACCAGCTGGCTCTCTGGGAACTCGGTGTATGAGGGAGAGAATGCTGCTTCTCTAGCCATGCCTGTGCCCCAAATAGTTTTTCTTCCTTTGACAAACCTGTCTTTCCTTCTTAACTCACGACTCCTTCCTCTCACAGACTCCCTGAGAAACATTTCCTCAGCCAGTCATGGCCCACGTTCTTCTCCAGCCGAACTCAGCAGCTCCAGCCAGCACCTGCTCCGAGAACGGAAGTCCTCAGCCCCCTCGCACTCCAGCCAGCCCACTCTGTTCACGTTTGAGTCCCCCATGTCAAACCACATGCAGCCTGCTCTGTCCACCAGTGCACCTCAAGAGTATCTCTACTTGCACCAGTGCCTCAGCCGGAGAACAGAAAATGCAAGGTAGGAAAGACATGATCACTGTTTGGGTAAATGACTACCTACAGGGCCCACTACTTTTCAGTCCTTTTTTCAGTTTTAAAGACAAATGAGGAAGATACTATGTCCTTGCAGGTAAACAAACACATGTATAACAAAACCACTATTGTCTCTATAACCTTCACATTTTATCATCTGTATTGCTACAAAGTGATAACTGGCTTCCAGAGGAACCTCTCGATACAAGCATGTCATGCCATAAAAAATTGATTTGAGGGTAAAAGGCATTAAGAGCTAGAATTTCAGAACTCCTGCATAAGAGTCAAATATTTGTTAGCCATACAAGTATAGCTACAGAACCTTAACACCACTGAGCAAATCCATCTCTCACTTTGTACTGGTACTACCCTATCCACTATTGCATTTGTGGCAAATTAAATTTAATAAAGTTAACATCAGTTCTTGTGCCAGCCTGAGTTAGATGCTCAGTAGTCTCCTGTGGCATATGACTAGGACTGGACAGTATTGATTTTTTTTAATTCCATCATCATAGAACATACTAGAGCAATAACTCTAGAAGAATGGTCTTTATTTTGTTTGTTTCTTTTGGCAGTTGTAGGGCTTGAACTCCAGGCCTGGGTGCTGTCCCTTACTCTTTTGCTCAAGGTGAGTGCTCTACCACTTTGAACCACAGCACCACTTCCAATTTTCTGATGGTTAATTAAAGATAAGAGTCTCATAGACTTTCTTGCCCAGGCTGGCCTCAGATCTCAGCCTCCTGAGTAGCTAGTGTTACAGGCATGAGCCACCAGTATCCAGCTCTGATTAAACTCTTTGACTTCTAATTTCCTCAGCTCTAAAATGGAAATCACAAGTTAATAAGCAGAAAATATTAATTAGCCAGTATTGGTATCAGTACCGGTTCCCTGTGGGCCCACCCCACTGCTACATGTATGGGAGCAGAGAATATGAAATCCTAAAATCCTAATTCTAAGCCGGGTACCAGCGGGTTATGCCTGTAAATCTAGTCAGGAAGCTAAGATCTGAGGATCCCAATTCAAAGCCAGCCTGGACAGGAAAGTCCATGAGACATTTATTCCAGTTAACCATCAAAAAGCCAGATGTGAAGCTGTGGCTCAAGTGGTAGAGAGCCAGCCTTGAGCAAAAGGGTCAAATGAAAGTACAAGGCCCTTAGTTCAAACCTCAATACCAAAACAAAAAAAAAAATAAAAAATACTTTTTAACTCTCAAAAGTCTAATAATGCCAAGTGTTGGTGATGTTGTATACTAGCTTTCATCTTTCGCTCTGACATTGCAGAACATACTAGGTGCTCCAGAAAAACAATGCCACTGTACAATTTACAAAGCACTTTTTTGTTACTTATCTCATATGATCTCCAAAGTAATTCCTGAATCTCCTTTTGTATAGGACCAACCAGCTCATCTATCTCTTCTTAGCTACACTGAATATAAAAATACCAGATTGAAATATTTTTTATGAACTCTGTGTGTGCGTGTGTGTACATCTGTACATCTGTACATCTCTCTTTCATTTATGAGGGGACCTGAAGTAACTTACATAAAAGTGTAAGCTATTACTACTTTTACTGAAGTAATATCACTGTCCTTCACTTACTAGATAATGCATATTCCTGGTAACTAACTTGTTTACAAAATTCAGGTGTCCCACTAAGCTAAAGGAAGTCACTGTTCAGAAAGTTTTTTTTTTTTTTTCTCCAAAATAAGTAGTTTTGAACTGAAGGGGGGAAAATAGAGTTCTTTTTGGCTTTGCTGTATTTATTTTTGCCTTCCAGCCTTGGGGCTTTATTCCATATTGCAGCTAGTGACTGACAGCTTATTTCAAGGAAGCTGTTTGACCTGTTATAGGTGACACACTAAGGCTGTGCACATACCTTGAAAAGCCATAATTCTGGAACCATCAATAGTTCCCTGTCAGTTTTACCTAATAGTTTAATTGATTGACCTTGCTTAACCCCATTATCTCCATATGGTTTTCAGAATAGGAGGTGAGGAAGGATTTAACTGCCTTAAGCAGCTTAGGAGAAAAGTAGAGCATGTGTCAAACTTCCATAAGAAGAGTTCACTCTGGTTGATGCTTTTTGTGAAAGCTGAAGGAAGTGAAATTTCAAGTGATGATATTCCCACATTACTGACCCTGCAACAATATTCTACAGCAAGATGGTGGGTCAAAAATGTAAGTGGAGAATTTACCCATGGTTTCCCCTGACTCATTCCTCCAGTGCTTTAATTGACCAAAGGCAGAATATACAACTTTTTTAGTTTCACTTAATTTCACAAATGCAACACTGCTCTGTAATGGTAAGGAGAAGTGAGGCTCACAAATGCAGCCAGTGGGATAGAGACAAGATCCTCTCAGTCTCTTAAAGATTGTGACACCATGGGCTAGGAAGGTGGCTTAGTGGTACAGTGCTTGCCTAGCATGCATGAAAGCCCTGATTTTGATTCCTCAGTACCACATAAACAGAAAAATCTGGAAGTGGTAGAGTGCTAGCCTGGAGCAAAAGAAGCTCAGGGGCAGTGTCCAGGCCCTGAGTTCAAGCCCCAGAACTGGCCAAAAAAAAAAAAGGATTGTGACAGGTTTGGGATGGGCCAAAGGCAGGAAAATGGTGTCACAAAGTGATAAATGTCAGTTAATCTACTTGCAAGCACTTATATATTAGATTTCCCTTAAGTAGGAAATTGATCCATTAAAAATAAAGCTGGAAGTTAGGCACTAGTGGCTCACACCTGTAATCCTAGCTACTCAGGAGGCTGAGATCTGAAAATTGCAATTCAAAGCCAGCCTGGGCAAGAAAGCCTGTGAGACACTTCCTCACCAAAAATGCCAGAAATACAGATGTAGCTCAATTGGTACTAGCCAATTGAGCAAAAAACTCAAGTACAGTGCCCAAACCCTGAGTTCAAGCCTGAGCACCAGCATACACACAGACACACACACATACACACACACACACACACACATACACACACACGTATGTATATGTGTATATATTGACTTAGGAACCCATTTAAAAGCCACCAGAATGTTTGAGAATGGTACTAAAGCCCAAGCATAAATGCAAGAGAGGTATTGGTATGACGGTCTCACTGAGCCAGCAACCAGCAACAGGAATGGGCAGGAAAGGTGCACTGCACTTCTGGCTTGAGGGACTGTTTCCCCCACCAGCTTCTTTCCATGTCCAGTGAGTTCCCCTGCACCCTAGGATCTTCCTATACCAGCACTGCCGTTATTTACCATTTTCCTCAACAGACATTTGAGGAGATTTGTTGGAGGATTTAAAGAGACATTCCAACTGATGTACCCAGAATTGTATCTTGCTTGTTTTATGATGCCCCCATCAGCAGCCCACAGCCCTGCTATCCACAGAAGCATCTCATCATATCATGGTAACAGGCCTCAGTTCATATCTGAAGGAAAGTAGGAAAAGTCACAAGGCTTCCCTCTTTTGGTTCTTTCCCATAAGGAGAATTGAAGTGCAACATCAGAGGTTCCATTGCTCAGCTCCTTTTTCCTGGCTTTTGAAGTAACCCCTCCTCATCCCTATCCTCTGCTCTACATCTGTATCATTTGCAGTATGCCTTCTAGAACACATGGTCTGAGGCACAGGCAAAAATGATGAGCACAAGGTAGAGTGGGTGTTATGTCAGAACCCTGGCATGCTAGGAGAACATGAAGGAAGAGGGAATCAAAGCAGGAAGGGGCACTGGGAATCTGTTGTACCTTTGTACTTAAGACTTGGTATAAAGTTTTGCAGAATCAGGGAGCATTGCAGAGAAAAATGAGTAATGTAAGCCCAGGGACAGAGCACAGACGACATAGTACATGTTAGGGGATGAATGAGTAGTTCTGTGAGCTAGAGAAGAGAGGTTGAGTAGAGAGAGGCTGGAACCTAACTGTCCTAAACAGAAGAGGTGTCAGTCTTCTGGTTAAAGAGTTTGGGCCAAGTTCAGGGAAAGAAAAGTGCCAGTGTACTTTCTTTATTCATTTGTTTATATTATCACACACTTGTTCACTCAATAAATGTTCATTATTTACTTTGTGACAAACTGTGTGCTGAGGAGAAAAAAAATTAGACATGTTTTGGTTCTCAAGGAAGTCACAGCTGTGGCAGAGACAAGTAATGATGGTACAGAATACAGATCACAGCTGCTACCTGTCCAAGTGATTAGTTATGCAAGTGATTAGCTATACACAGAGGTTGAGCATGTAAGGATTAGCTACAAGAGATGTGGCCAGGGAGCTGAGTTTGAGGGATCAAGAGCTGAAGCCAGGCTGGAGTAAGAGGCTCCCAGGCCAGCCTGTAATCCCAGCACTAGCAAGATAAGGCAGGCAGATCTTGAGTTTGAGTTTGAGGCCAGCCTGAGCTAAACAGAGTGAGACCCTGTCTCAAACCAAAAGCTCCTGCACACAGCAAACATAACAGCATTGGAAGCATTGTAGACTGATGCATTTTTCTAGAGTAGAGAGGGATTCCAGGGAGAAAATGACAGTATTGAAGATGTTTGATGGGGAGGGTGGGAAAGAATCAGCAGGGTATAGAGGAGCAGAGAGGTCCCAGGAAGATGGAAAGGAGATTAATGAGTAGCCCCATCATTAATCCAGAAGAAAACTCAGAAGGAACTGGATTAGGATAGATTCGATGCGACTTGATCAATTAGTGAGAAATAAGAATGTGGTAACTCCTCCATTTCTGGCTTCCCAAAGTAGGAGAATCTAGAGCAAAAATAGACCTCAGGGCTGGGTGCTGGCATCTCACATTTGTAATACTAACTACTGCACTGAGATTTGATGATTGTAGTTCAAAGCCAGCTCACGCAAGAAAGCCCATGAGATTCTTACCTCCAATTAGCCACCAAAAATCCAGAAATGAAGCTGTGGCTCAAGTGGTAGAGACCTAGCCTTGAGTGAAAAAGAAAGCCCCAGCACTGGCACAGAAAGGGAAGGAAAAAGAAGAGAGAAGGGAAAAGGGAGAAAGGAAAGGAGAAAAGAAAGGAAGGAGAGAAAGAAAGGGAAGGGAAAGGAAGGAAGCAGGCAGGAAGGGAGGGACTTCAGGAGATCAACGATGAGTCTGTTCAGGACTATATGCAGGGTTAGTTTCTACAGGACACCTGTGATCCTCTCCCCACTCCCATTCCCACCTCTAAAATCCTTCAGAGGCTTCCTGCCTAGCCCCGCCCCCCACTCCCATCTCTCAGCCCTGAAAGAGCTGAAGATCAATCCCAGTGTCTCACCCAGGCAGGCAAGCGCTCTACCACTCTACATCCCAGATTCATTTAACTTTCTTAATTGAAAAGCTACCATTGTGTGATTTTATCTATTATCATTATGTTTTGAAGTATACTACACTGCTGAGTGGTTAAATCTTAATAATCACAGTGCATGTTATCATTTTGTGGTTGGTGTGTAACATCATTCTGCATTTCTTGAGAATTTGCTCTGTTTTCATTAACTATAGCCACCGCATGATACCTCATGATCTCTGGAAAAATTTATCCCTCCTGACTGTAATCATACGTCCAACATCTCCCCCTTCCTGTGCCCATCCCAGCTTCTAGTAACCACCATTATACTCTGTGTCTGTGAGATCATCTTGTCTAGATTCCACATGGATGAGATCACACCGCCTTTGTCTTTCTCTCAGCCTTACCTTCTAACACACTTCCTCCATCCTGATCAGCTTGCAAATCCTTGAACTTGTCTGGCTGTGTTCTACATCCTTGTGCCTCCAACCAGAATGCTTTTTCCTTGTCCTGCTGCCCTTCCTGTCAGGTATACTCAGAGTTTACATCTCTAAAGAAGCTTTCCCTGCCATTCACCACTGCCACCAGGGAGGATTAGTGTCAATCTGTCAGCAGCCACATGTTCACCCCCATGTCACTGAAATGATGTACAGGCGTGTCACCTCATACATTGCTGTGACATCCCCACACAGGGATGGTAGCATCTCTGTGTCTGTTGTACCTTGATAGAAGGGGAGCATCAGTAGATGTTTATTCAATAAATGGATCCAAAGCAGCACATCTAGAACAGAGCTGGAAATTCCAATACAAAATGAAAAGCACTAAAGACAAGGTGAACAATGTGAATAGTTTATGTCTACCATTGACTCCCTTGTCCTTTTCTAAGTGTTAGGTTTTTAAAAAGAGGTAGCCGAGTAAGAACAGCACCACGCATGTGGTATTCAGGTAAGAGGTAGGTTTATTCATCGTTCCGGCTGGCACCAGGCCATCTTGGTCCTCCACGTGGTGGGGAAAGGCCTGGGAAAGAGAGAGAGCTGGGAAAGAGAGAGAGAAAGAGAGAGAGCTGGGGAAAAGAGCTAAGAGAGAGCTAGAAAAGAGAGAAAATAGCTAGAAAAGAGAAGAGCTAGAAAAAAGCTAGAAAAAAGCAGAGAGAGCATCTGCGCCTGGGCTAGGCCTTATTTAGGGTACGGGCAGAGAAAGGTGTGGCCACATCAAATTCAGATGTGACCTCAGCGGATGCAGATGTGACCTCTTCCAGGTGTGCCAGTTGCCTAGGTAACACAGGTACTGGGTGGAGACTTTGCTGTGAGGAGGGTGGAGTCTGCTCGCCATCCAGGAGCATTGGACAATACACTAAGTACCTTATGTAAGGACTCAGTGTTCAGTTATCTAAGCCAAGCTGTTGGCTTGGTTATGTATGAGGAAAATGGACTAGAAAGGGAGAAGGAATATGGAGGCCTAGAGTGGAAAGCTGGTGAAGGTTTGGGGGCTAACATGAACTCCTAGCCATGGAGGTTCAAGAGTCCTAAGAGGGAGAGAGCCTGGCCTGCACACCTAGTAGTCTTCCTCTTTCTAAATTTCTGGGTCCTGTTTTCTACCACCACCTGGTGGCAACATCTGTAAATAACAAGCTCTAGCATGAGCTGAAGGAGCTCCTGGAAGGCAGTTCTATCAAGCAACTTTGGAAGACTTGGTCATTACTGCCCTCCTCCTTATCATACCCCACCCTTACCCTCAGGGAGAATAAATACTGTGTGTGTGTATAGAAGTATCTTACAGCATTCTTTTAAAAAAAAAATCTCTGGCTTCCAAAAGCTGAGAATCACTGCTATTAAGGGATGAATTCAGATGGGAAAAACAGAGAAAAACAAGGGAAGAGGTAACACTGTTCAAGAAGATATGTACTTATTACCTGACCTATGCGACTGTAACCCTCTATCACCTTTACAATAAAAAAATAATTATTTTTTTAAAGGGAGAGTGATTCTGGCCAGGTAAAATCCTCTGGATGACAGAGAAACATACCTGATCCCTGCTGTTCAGATCCTCACCAGTTCCACAGAGTATTTGTGCAGGACACAGAATCCAGTGTGGGAAACCATAGTTTAGAGTCTCAGAGCAGAGGACCTTCAGAAGTGATGGAGATGGACCAGGCCACACCTAGGAGGAACAGGTCCATGGCAATGCTTTGTTATAACACAGTTACAGTCTGACTGCTCCTGTCTTCACTGCTGGCCTCGATTATTTTTTAATGATCAAATCTAAAGTTCTTTATAACATACAGACATTAACACCCAGGAGCTGGTTTATATTACAGAGGGAAAACTTGAGACTCAAAGAGAGAAAATGATTTGCTTGATGTTTTGGTTTTTTTGTTGTTGTCACCAACTGAAGTGTTCCATTTGAATAGCCATTCTATTAAAATATGTGTGCTATGGTAGTTAAAAATATGAGCAGGTAGTATAACTGGCTTCTTGATCAGGGGCTAGGGGGAGGGAGATCAGCACTGAGACTAATCCTGCTAATGACAGCCATGTACAGCCCAGTATAAAGGCTGATATTGCCAGCACATACACTAGAGTCTAGTTTCCAGACAGCCTTCGTAGTGTGTTTTTAATCACCATGCTGCAGCTGCAGATGTCTAAGCTGCAGTTCCACAGTAAAAGTGTCTTGCCCCAGGTCACACGGCTAGCTCGCTCATGGAAGATCCTAGGAAAACCTTGGATCTATGGTCTGTATTTCCCATATCTAATTGGCTGTGCTGGCTTTGAACGTCCCAAGGCAACCCTGACTTCCTCTCACAGCAGCCCTACCCTCTTCTCTTTTAGGAGTGCCAGCTTCTCTCAAGGCACCCGGCAGAAGAGTGACACAGCTGTGCAGAAGCTTGCCCAGGGTAATGGACACTGTGTCAATGGGGTCAGTGGGCAAGTCCATGGCTTCTACAGCCTTCCCAAGCCGAGTCGGCACAATGCAGAATTCAGAGACAGTACTTACGACCTCCCTCGGAGCCTGGCCTCCCATGGCCACACCAAGGGCAGCCTCACCGGGTCGGAGACAGATAATGAGGACGTGTACACCTTTAAGACGCCCAGCAACACCCTGTGCCGGGAGTTTGGGGACCTCCTAGTGGACAATATGGATGTTCCAACCACCCCACTCTCAGCCTACCAGATCCCCAGGACATTCACGCTGGACAAGAACCACAACACCATGGCAGTGGCCACTCCTGGGGACTCAGCCATAGCTCCTCCACCCCGGCCCCCAAAACCCAGTCAGGCAGAAACTCCTCGATGGGGCAGTCCTCAGCAGAGACCTCCAGTCAGTGAAAACAGCAGGTCTGTTGCGGCCACTATCCCCAGGCGCAACACCCTCCCTGCCATGGACAACAGCAGACTCCACCGAGGTAAGTGTGAGCCTTCCGTGACCAGAGGGAGGGGGACAGATTCTGGCCCAGGCGGCCCCAGTGCATGCTAGCCCTTGGTCATCCATAGCCCAGAGAAACAAGGACCACCGAGGTCACTTGCCCATTGGCCCTCCAGCTAGTATTATGATACCCACAGCAGCAAGACTGTAGCCGACGGTAGTGAAGAATATGATATTCTAAGGGTCACGGAATATTTTTAACTGCAATACATATGGGTTTAGAAATCCAAATCATAGTACTTTATTCATTTAAAACTCACAAGCAGAGATTTAAAAAGTAAATTTAGAAGACCAAATCCGTGCGGGCTGACAGACTAACGAAACAAAATGAGATGTTTAGAATATTGCACAGCCACACAAAAATCTCTGGTGGAAGTCCTGAAATTCTACAGTTTTACAGGGTGTGTTCCAGCTCTGCACATATCTTCCATTTGGTTAAAAACAGAATGCTGCTCATTCCTCTCACTCTGCAGCTTGCTATGGGCTTGTGCAGCCTCCTCGCCCATCCTGTGGTGTGAGCCATGCAGCGTGTGGCGGGACAGAGACTTGTCATCTCTGTTTCACACAAAGCCTGCCGTGACTCACGATTACAGAGTGAACAGCAACCAAGATGGGACTCGGGCCTAGGGTCTGCCATTCCATCTATATTTTGAGCAGTCACCGTGTGTTTTGGAACCAGGGTAAGACATAGAAAACTTGCGTCTGCCCTTTAGTTCATAAATCTGCCTGGGGGAAAAACGTATAAATAAGCACAAGTCTCATTGCTATAGTGTTTACAGAGCTGAGAAGTGGGAGTCCCAGGAAGGGGTGCACTGTGAGGCCAGCGCCCAGGAGGGACCCCACGCTGCAGTAGACCTGAGCCTAGGAAGAGTCTAGGAGCTAAGGAAGGCAGGATTCAAAGCACCCAGTATCCTCAGGTGGGGGAGGAGTACCTCCTGGAGCATCAGAGCCATGCCGGAGGGAACAGGAAGCGTCAGCACATGGATTGACATGAGACATCCGCTCTTCTTTCCTGTCACAGCTTCTTCCTGTGAGACCTACGAGTACCCCTCCCGAGGTGGGGAATGTGCAGGCCGGTCTGCAGAGTCCATGAGCGAAGGAGTCAGTCCTTTCCTGGTGAGTGGAATGGGGCCATTCATAAGCTAGAGAGGGAAGAGGCTGGTGCCCATGGAACTGAGAACAGGGCCGAGTGAGGAGGCGGCATCTCCCTGGGGACCCTGCCTAAGTTCAGAAGCTTAGGTTGAGTTTGACAAGTAAAGCAGGGACCCTGGCCAGCATGCCAGGTATGCCCTAAGGTCAGCTGCATTCCAGGCTTACCAGGCCTGTGAGTAAGCAGAGGGGACACAGAATACAGTGGGCTCAGTGGAGCTCAGGTAGAGGAGAGATTCTGTGCAGAAAGAAGGACTGAGCAGGTAAGCTTCGTTTTAAGCCCACCAGGAAGACAAGAAGTTAGGTCTTGAGACAGGTGCAGCTCCATTGGATGACCAGGACAAGAGAATGGCTGTAGCACTGCACAGGTTGGTGGTCAGCACGATGTCTGGAGGGAGCCACACCCACTGCAGGCTGGACAGGGCAAGCACACCTGGCTCCACACCAGGGCCAAGTATGCCCGGTATCCTACTGAGGGGCTCACTGCTCATCTGCCAGTGGTGAATCTGGAGCAACCAAGGAGGAATGGATGGCTAGGCTGACTTCAGATTTATCATGAAGTAGAGGTGGGTCCCAAGAGGTCATGGAAAGCTCACAAGACCTCATTTCCCCAAACCTCCCACCGTCTCCACTGTAGTATCAGAGTATACTTAACCCACTGGGGCAGCCTGCTTTGTACAGAGTCTCACCTTTATTTCTTCTTTCTGGTGACAGCTATTTCTCTCATGTTCCCTCTCTCTAGCCAGGGAAAACTATGGTGGGCCGCTCAGACAGTGCCAGTTCCGAAGACAACTATGTACCCATGAACCCGGGTTCTTCCTCCCTGCTAGCCATGGAGCGGGCAGGCGACAATTCCCAGAGTGTCTACATCCCCATGAGCCCAGGGCCCCATCACTTTGACCCACTGGCCTACCCATCCACATCCCTTCCTCTGCACAGAGGCCCCAGCCGAGGAAGTGAAATCCAGCCACCCCCTGTCAACCGGAACCTCAAGCCTGACCGCAAAGGTAAGTCCCATCCGTGAACCACATACAGGAGCTTAAAGGTCAGGTAGAGACTGGACTTGGAGTGTGTGAGTCTATGCAAATAATGTGAATGCTTTGAGCCTCAGTTTCTTATGTATGAAATGAGCGTTTGTTTAGAAAGACAGCATCTAGGAGAGTGTGTCTCATCCACAGCAGAATACACAGTGGTTACATGTGTGTGTGCGCCTGTATGCAGACCAGAAAGGAGTGCTGGATTCCACATTCCAGGTCTGCCAGTGCAGGCCTGGCCTTGGCTCAACAGCAAGGATTCAAAGGGAAGAATCGGATTAATTGGGCAGAGATCAATCAAGCCAACAGGAAATTCACATCTGAGCCTGAAGCCTTCAGGGCCTTGTGCTATTTACCTTCCTCCACTGTAGTTTGCCCAGCTCTGTCCAAAAACAGCAGGGAGTAGTCATGGTGACCATCTCCATTTCAAATAGTCTCTTGTTTTTATATACAGTCAAAATCCTGTAGAGAAAAATCTGTTCTCAGACTGTCCAATTTTGTATGCTGAAAGTCTATGTGAAATCCAAAGCCATAGCTTCCACATGGGAAATAATTATGTAGTCATCCATCTGCAGGTCCTACACATTCAACCAAGGCAGATCAAAAATACCTTTGAACTACCATGTATAGATTTTTCTTATTCCATAAATAAGACAACTGTTCACATTGTATTAGGAATCATATGTGGTCCTGGAAGCAGTCCCCAGCAGATACTAAATAACACCTTTATGTCCTTCATTTCCTTAAGCAAATTGAGTGATTGTAGAGATGTTTCTATAATATATACTTGCATGTTGTATGTATTATATGCCTATGTGGCATGATCACTGGCTCTGTTCCTGTTCCAGCAAAGCCAACACCCCTTGACCTGAGAAACAATGCTGTCATTGATGAGCTCCCATTCAAGTCACCTGTCACCAAGTCTTGGTCCAGAGTTAAGTAAGTGTCTGTGGAAGCAGGACCTTGGAGTCAAGCATTAAAGCGTGGGAAGGTCTCTGGGGGACAACTAGATTTCGATGCTAATGTTATCAGCAGTGTTAGGTTTTCTGACAACAGTACCAGGCAGCTTAAAAGGAAGACAGATTTTAAGCTCGTGGTTTCAGTCCATGGTCACCTGGCTCTTTTGCTTCTAAACTTGTGGCAAGGCAGAAACTTCATGGTGGGAAGAATGTGGAAGAGGGTGACCCTGCGTAGGTAGGCTTCCTCTTTCTTCCACTCCACTGGAGAGTGCTACCCAAAGTAGGGTGGGTCCTTGCCACCCAGTTGCTGTCCCACATGCCAAGCATCTTTGGGCAGTATCCAGAAGCCTGCTTTACAATCCCCTAGACATCTCTCATTCCAACCAAAATGAAGTATCAACATTCACCATCACTTCAGCTCATCTTAGCTCATGTTGAGAATTGGTTTCCTTATCTATAAGGGGGAACGTTTATGTCCACCATGGCCTAGATCTAAGAACATGAGGGTCAGGGGCACCCCAAGGCTCATGCTGTCTTCTTCCCACAACAGCCACACCTTTAACTCCAGCTCTTCCCAGTACTGCCGCCCCATCTCCACACAGAGCATCACCAGCACGGACTCGGGAGACAGCGAGGAGAACTATGTCCCCATGGTGAGTCCTCTGGCTTTTGCTGGAAGCACTAACAATCCTGAGGCTTCCCCTCCTCCTGGGAACTGCCTGCTTACCCTCTGCTGCAGACCTTCCAGAGTTTGTGTGTCTTGTCATCAACTGGAAGACACAGCCCTAAAGAGCTGGTGGCATGAGGGATGTCCTTAGAGAAGCGGTGTTGGGAGACACATGCACACCTCCCTCTGGTGACAGACCCAAGCAGGGTACAGTTTAAGGTTCCTCTGAGAGATTTTTCACTGAAATAGGCAAAGCTACCCAATACCTGGTTTGCCTGTAATCCCAGTTCCTCTGGAGGAGGCAGCTGTTTTAAGGATTACAGTTTGGGTGAAAGGTGAAAACCTAATTTCAACTAATAATATGAGTGGGGTGGCATGGGGTATTCATAGAGCTACTTGTGCCTACTTAGGAGGAATAGACAGAAGACAAAACCTAAAGGAAGAGCCTACCTTAACAATAACCTAACGCAAAATGGGCTGGCTCATGTGGTAGAGCACTTAGCCAGCAAGAGCAAGGCTAAGCTCAAACCCCACTACTTCCCAAAAGCTAGAACACAGGACTGTCACCTTTCTCGTTAGAATCAGACTGTGAGAAAGCTCTGTGTGGGAGTTCTTTTGTAGAGCAGGACTCGGTCTGAACACAGGACCCCTAGAGACTGAGGCCTCCGCAGCACTAGATGGAGTGTTCCAACATGTTGCTCTTCGTGAGGAGCATTTCAGAGGACGGGGGCAGCTCAAGGAAGCTTGCCTGCCTCCAGTGCCAGAGCCAAGACCCCTTCTCAGAAGCCACAGCTGGGTCTCAGGGAAAGACCCATGCATGGGGCTTGGCCAGAGGCTGGAAATGCAAGGCAGCACAGTGCATGGGATTAACGTGGGTCTGGGAGTCATGATCATTCCTGGACAGCACTGTGCTTCTCAGAGCCACTGCTTTTAGCCAGGTAAGCAGTAACACCTGCCTCTCAAGACTATGGTAAGAACGTGGAGTCATAGTGGCTGGCACAGAGCAGGACACAGAACAGCAGCTCTTCCTCCCAAGAGCTGATTTGCTGCTGCTGGCTGCTCTGTTTCTGACCTATTTTTCTTCTTTGTGATATAGCAAAACCCAGTGTCTGCATCCCCTGTTCCCAGTGGCACCAACAGCCCAGCCCCTAAGAAGAGCACTGGCAGTGTTGATTACCTGGCCCTGGACTTCCAGCCGGGCTCCCCGAGCCCTCACCGCAAGGTGCCTGGGGCGGGTGGGCCTGTGGGGATCCTCCTTTCTCTGAGCGTAGTTTTCCTTGGGCCATAGCTCAGCCCATCAGAAATAGATGCATCAGAAACGGGCAAATGTGTGCGCAGCAGCAGTTTGTCTACTTGAGCTTACAAAGAGTGTACATGCCCAAAACATGGAGATCTGGCCTATCCTAGTCTCCTGTGAATTCATTATCTAGATGGGGCATAAACGCTTTCTAGGTACTTTCAGCCTTCCCTGGAGAGCCAGCCTGTCTAGACTATAGGGTGTGAGGTTCTGCCCCAATATAGCTCCCCTCTGGGGTGTATCTGAGGGGGAACACCTAGAGCTCATCCCCACATCTAAAGCCTGGTGTTCTGTTGGGAAGAGTGGCCAGAGGGAGGCAACCGGGAGAGCATGATCTGTCCAGGCTAAGGAAGATCCTCAGAGCTGGAACTCAGGGCTGTCTCCTCTAGGCTGAGGGTTTGGAACTCACTTGGAAGCCCACACTTAGGAAAGATGGCAGGCCCTTGAGGCTGGTCAGGGGCCATTGTTGGCCTGCTGGCATAGACCTCATTTTCTTCCTTATCCCACTCACTCACTTTGTCTCCTCAGCCCTCCACGTCATCTGTCACTTCAGATGAGAAGGTAGACTATGTCCAAGTGGATAAAGAGAAGACCCAGGCACTGCAGAACACCATGCAGGAGTGGACAGATGTGCGGCAGTCCTCAGAGCCTTCCAAGGGCGCCAAGCTGTGATGAGGGGCCAAGAAGCAACTGGAAGCTGGCTCCTCCCCCCACTTCCGCTCCCACCCCTCTCCTACCCCCCTCCACCCCACCAACCTCAGCCTTCAAGCATTTGACATCAGGGACCCCGACCCTTGGAGGCGAGGGCCTGATGGAGGCATGTAGGGCAGACCCACAGTGACTTCTATCAATCCTGGCAGTGCCTCCACCCACCTTAGTTAGGAGCTGTTGCCAAAAAGCCTCCTCCTGTTCTCAGGGCCTGCCTGTCTACTGCCTGGAGCCTTGGCGGGAAGGAGCAGGGCTCTGAGCCAGACTCCACACACCTCACATTTGGTCACAACCCTCCACCCTTTCCCTTCCCTCAGGGCTGTCTCTCCAGTCCCAGAGGACAATCCAGGGAACCAAGGACCCCATCAAAGTGGACATGGACTTTTGGCTGTATGGTTATAGGCAGGGCAGGTCACCAGAAGATGAAGTAGATAAGAGTGAAGGTCAGAGGTAGTGTTGAGGGACCAAGGAATTTGATCTCAGATGCACAAGGACAGTGGATACCTGCAAGGTTCCCCTGCTTTCAGGCCAAGGCTATGGCGGGGCCACTGCGGTGGAATGAATGGGCAGCAGAAGGATGAAGGACAGGACTGATAAGCTATAAAGAATGAGGTACCAGGCGTGGCGTGACAAGGGTGCTACACAATCAGGGCCCCAGAACTGGTGCTATCGGACCGCTCTGGGACAGTAGCAGGGTGAGTGGGTTGGGAAAATGGGAGAAGTAGCAGGGAGGGAGGGGTGTTAGAGGCGACGCAGGAGCTGGGGGACATGGATAGGATGCGCAGGGCCGTGCAGCAAGTAAAGTTTCTGGGAGGTGTAAGACACAGAGGTGACCTAAGACAGGGACACAGGGCCCACGGAACAAGTGAGGGCATGGTAAAGAGCCTGAGGCAGTCAGGACACAGGGCTGCTGGAGGAAACAAAGTGAAAGAGTGACCTGAGGACGGACACACACAGACACACAGACACACACACACACACACACACACGACGGACACACACACACACACACACACACGACGGACACACACACACGACGGACACACACACACACACACACACACACACACACACACACACACACACACACACACACACACACACACACACACACACACACACACACACACACACACACACACACACACACACACCCAGCACTGAGGATGGCTGGAAAACAGCACCCTTCCCAGAGACATAGGGGGTATGGCTGATAGACACGACAGGTCTCAAAACTGGAGCATAACTGGCCTCTGTCAGCGCCAGTGTTTTCTCAGCTCCTCGCACCTCAGTGCTCCCAAGAAGGTCAGTGCTAGACTTAGACTTGGCTACATGGATGGAAGAAGCCTCTTTCCTCTTCCCCCGAGCTTCAGAGTTCATGAGATGGGCGAAGGGGAGGAGGAGGGGTGCTCCTGAGTTATGACGGGGAATATGATGTTGTTGTCGTTCAAAGTTCTGGACCAAATTATCAAGTTTCAGAGGCAGTGGGGCAGACCAGAGATTCCATTTTTTTTCTTTGCTCCTAGGAGCACACGCATGGCCCTCTGGGAAGCTCCATCCTCAGTATCTTTCCTCAACTAGCCCTTTAGCAGTAGTTCAGTGCAAATCAAGAGCCATTTTGTTGTGTTGGTTTGGGTTTGGTTTTTTTTTTCCCTATCGCTAAGCTCTAGGTTTGGACCCCAAGTCCACGAGGTTAATCTCACACTTTGTCCCTGGAGGTCAGAAAGAAAAGGATAAAATGCTGATGGAGTGTTGAGGTGGGGAGGCCGAGGCGAGTGAGGAGGAGGAGACAGGGAAGGCAATCTAGGAAGAGGAGCTTGAACTAAGCCTTAGAGAAGCAGAGTGCAAGTTTCACAGAACAGGCAGCCAGGGGCTGCGTCCCCATCAGAAGGAAGGAGACACTGGACAAACCCTGGCATGGGCTCACTCAAGTGTCTGACTTCCTATGGGTGAAAGGCTAACTGTGGCTGCACTGGGCAGGTTTTTGCAGGTTGCTGGTTTACTCTGTGTGTACCATGTTGTGTGTGTGCCATGTGGAAAGTTCAAGGTCTGAGGGGAGGTCTCCATCTTACAATCAGTCCCTACCACTTCGCAAAGCATAGGGTGGAAGCAGGCGTGAAGGTGGAAAGATGGACAGGAGCCCATGGCAGAGCTCACAAGCCCCAAACTACCAACCATGTATCACGTGCCCACCAAAAGAAGTGTCAACTCAGTTTAAGAAGCACACCCTTTGGCCTATCCACATGGCTCAAAGTCCTCTCCTGGTAGCCTGACAAGGACTGAGGCCCCAGAATGGACATACACTCTCACCTAGCATAGCTCACAGCTCATCCTTCCTGGGTTCACCTAAGAGCCTTCACCTCTACAGGGTGAGAAAAGTTGGCGACTCCCTGGGATCCAGGATGGGTAGACTGAGGCTCCTGCCCCCCCCCCCAGCTGCTTTAAGGGGAACTCCCTGCTCTGTAATTTCTCTTACGGGGTCCAGCAGCCCCCAGCATTGTCTGCCCTTCCCTAGCTTGATTTTGGTGACTTCTACACTTGCCCTGTTCTTAACAGAAGCACCCACCACTCTGAAGTTACTGGAGCTGGGGATCAATTCCAGCCTGGCCAGGGGCCCTTTACCTGCGCAAACTGTGTTCTAGCTACCCTGCCTTCCCCTCTTCTCCCTTCCCCGCCTCCGACGGAACTCCATAGGAGTGCAAGACTAGAGAGAATTAGCGCTGCCTTCCTGTCTACCCGGGCCTTCCGCTGTAGACTGTGGGGAAATGAAGCTGACTTCATGGGGCCATCTTTCTGGGACTTGTCCAATTCTTTGGGGTCTGGGACCAGAGGCCTCCCTGCAGCCAGGGGCCTGACAGAAGATTTTGTGCTGTCATGTGGTAACTGGTGGTGTGTGTTTTGTGTAATTTGTTGATTATTGTGTTTTCAAAGTTAGAATTCACAGAACTGTGGCTGTTGGGAAGAGAAAAAATGGGCTAGGCGCAACCTAGTCTTAGGTTGTCTTAATACCATTTAAAAATTGACATTTAATTTTTCAAATCACTGTTGGTGCCTAATCACTTAAGTTATTAATTTATTCTGTTTTCAAAAACTTTGTAACCCGTATTTATCTTGTGAGTAGTCGGGGTGGGACGGGAAATGTGTTGGAGTGGGTCATGTTTTTGCCGTGGTGACACATGGTACAGGCCTGGAGCTTGCAGGTCCCTTTTTACTGTGGTGTTAGAACAGGACAACAAAAATAAAGTCCTTTAGAAATGCAACCTAAAGGGCTACTGGAGTCTCTGAGAGGGCTGGGGCAGCTATGCATAAACACCTTTCTCAGAGGAAATCATTTCCCAAATGACCCCTGGAGTGCTGATGGGCCAGTCTGCTCCATTCATTCTCACAGGAACGAATTGAGCTATTGCACCCAACTAGCATCTGCCAGTTCAGGGCATGTGGAAGCTGGTGTGGGAGGGGGAGTTTCCCTGGCTCTAAGCACTGTGTCCTGTCTGACAGCTCGACAGCTCGAGTCTGTGATACCGCAAGCCAAGATTCAGCAACCCTCGTAACCCCTTGTCCCATGACTGCCACCATCTCTGTCCCTGCTTTCCCACTTCTTACCTGAAAGGAGGTGGATGGACAGGCTCAGTGGAAAGGGGACCCTGTGCTAAGGGCAGGTCCCGGGCCCTGCACATGGCCACTTGTGGGTCCCATTCTAGCTCCAAGAACTGGCTGAGGAGAATTGTGCGTGGAGTCTGGGATGGCAGGGCTGCTGTGTGAAGGTCAGAAAAGGTCCTGACCTGGGGCTGGGAAGGTGGCTCAGTGGTAGAGTGCTTGCCTTGCAAGCATGAGGCCCTGGGTTCGATTCCTCAGCACCACATATAGCAAAAAGAAAAAAGCCGGAAGTGGCCCTGTGGCTCAAGTGGTAGAGCGCTAGCCTTGAGCTGAAGAGCTGAGGGACAGCGCCCAGGCCCAGAGTTCAGGCCCCACAACTGGACCCAAAAAAACAAAAGAAAAGGTCCTGATCTCCCCTCACTCTGTGCCCAATTCTCAGAGGAGGGACAGGGGTGGGGCAGATATTCCTGGCCAGCCTAGCGTTCTTTGGCTCTGGAGTGCCTCAGCTGTGGGGTTCCATGCTTACCTCAGGGCTCATGTCATATCCCATGGGAGATCTCCCAGCGCCTCATCCTGTTGTCCCCCCCAGTCCGCTCCCTGGTCCTCCTCATCCAGCACCACATGCTCACCTGCACACTGCTCTCGAAAGCCCCCAGAGGCAGGCACACAGCCTCACCTGACCAGCCAGGAGCCCAGGTCACCCTCAGACTGCCAGAACCCAGGAAGAAAACCAAGCACACAGCCCCTGAGATGGGAAGAATGATGCATCCTTCACAGGCTGCAGAGAACCTAGTTTTATTCCTGTTTGAGAACACAAGTCTCTTTCCACTGAGAAAGGGCTATAGCAATGTCAGGGTGCAATGAAGTCATCTGTGCAATCTGGTCCATCCCGCCCCTCCCCAGAACAGCCAAGAGAGCCAGTTTCCTGAGCACAGATGATGCTTCCCAACAGACGGGCAGCTCTGCAGTAAACTAAGAACTCTCAACCTTAACCAAAGGGGATGCAATTGGTGTCATCTGAGGCACTGAGGCAGGTGAGGGGGTGGAGGTGAGGGACTCTGCTTGGTACAGGGAAGGGGCAGGTGAGAACCTTCATGCCTGATCCGATGCCACAATGCTTCCCACCTATGGCACCCACATACCTTGCCTCTGAACCCCCTCAGAGAAACAAAGGCAGGCAGAGGTGACACCTTGGAGTCACCTTCTTGGTGCAAGGGCTCGGGCCCACTGTGCTTTTTCTCCTATGGAGCAGGAACTATGGGAAGGGAGCTGGAGCGAAGTACGAGGACACTGAGCAGAAGAAGCTCAGCCCAGGTTCTTGAGCCAGCATAGCTCATTTCTCCAGGACTGGGCCTGTGCGGGGAAGGTGGGGAGGCAAAACACAGAACATGTCTATCCAAGAAGCTTCAAGTTAGGTCACTTGGGTGTAAAACCTTAATGAGACTGAGCCCAGTACCAGACCCTGAGGACCACCCTAAGGTCCACATCTGGGTTTCCGTGTGCCCTTCAGGCTGAGGACCAAAGTCCCAGATGCTTTTCCATCTTCTCATTCTCACGCTACTCCACCCTAGGCCTCTCCATAGCCCACCCAGGCCCTATCTTCAAGAGAGGCTCTGCCTGGGCCCAAGCCCCTACCTGGACCTTCCTCTCTCCCAGACAGTCTGACCTGGCTCCCAGAAGGAAGAGGTAATTTTTGTCCCCTAAAGTTGACTGTGGTGTTCCCATGGGTGGAATCAGGATAGGAGAGGGTTTGTATTAGAAGACCAGTCTGTGGAAGTCACCACCATTGCCACCTGCAGGACTGCAGCCTCCCGGGGAGCCTTCATCCTCATCCTTGTCTTCATCATAGCCCCTCCCCCAGTGTGGAGAGGCAGGGAGGGCAGAGATGTATGCCGCCCTGCTCCGGGCCTCCTTCTCTTGCTCCTGGAAGCAGACAGGGTGGAGAGAAAGTTTAGAATCCACACCCCTAAAGCCAAAGCCCTCCCCTAGTGCCATCCAGCTCTTCCAGGAGCCCAGGGCCAGGGCTCAGAGAAGGCACAGTGTGTTCCTGAGGCACCCCACCTCCATGGCCACATGACAAGACAGATCCATTCTTCCACCCCAGGTCTAGTCTTCAAACGCTCCTCTCAGTGACAATTCAGTCATTCCTATTTGCCTGTGACTGGCTGTCAAGGGCTTGATAATGAAAGCAAATGGTTTAGGGACCTTGAGGGGACTCGACTCGTCACCCACCCCACGGCCCTCTCCAGGCACAAGGAGCAGCCTCTGCCTGTGAGCAAGCTATTCCTCCTGCTGAAACGAGATCAGCTTCAAAGAGACTTCCTGCCTCACCTGCACAACCCAAAAGAAAATCCAAAACCGGCCTGGGAACCCAACCGTTCTCTGTCCTACACCAAACACAAGGGCAAGTCTACAGGCAAGTCTGGCTGCTCCAGTTGGCCACAGCTGAAACCCACCACCCACAAAAACTCTGCTGTGCCCATGGCTAAACACTTTAGTGCCACTCCTGACCAACAGAGGCGGCAGAGGCGGTGGGGCAAGCAGGTCACTGGGTAAGGCGGCCCTGACAGGTGTCCCCACAGGCATTCCTAACCACGGACTCCACAACTTGCTCTATTAGAGCCCAGCCTGCCCCTGCAGCATGCTTGCAACTGTACAGCATGTTCCAAGTCCTGAACAACGACAGGATGAATGGACTTAAAAAATGTAAGATAGCCAGTGGCTCACACCTGTAATCCTATAATCCTAGCTACTCAGGAGGAGGCTGATATTTGAGGACCAAAGTTCAAAGCCAGCCTAGGCAGAAAAGTCCGTAAGACACTTATCTCCAATTAAGCACCAAAAAAGCTAGAAGTGGAGCTGTGGCTCAAGTGGTAGAGCACTAGCCTTGAGCAAAAAAAGCTCAGGAAGAGTGCCCAGGCCCTGAGTTCAAGCCCCAGGACCAGCACAAAAAAATCAAAATAAATGGAAGAGGCTCAGAAGAGAACTGATGTACGCGTTGGGATGTGCTGGGGACGACCCCCTCCCCAGAAGTGCAATCAGAGACGGCAGCCCTGCTCACCTGCAGGTAGAGGATATTGTCTTTGGAAATTGCTTCCATCAGGTCCTTGTGGAGGGTGGGCTCTGCTCGGACTCGGGGAGACCCCGACTCGGCTTCACACCCCTCCCCAGGCCGCTGGCGGTAGAAGAGCACATAGGCCGTGTCCTTGGGAAAGAAGGAGGTGACATTGCTGACAGACTCGAAGGAGGAGAAGGACACCCGGGTGTCATTGAACAGGTACCACTGGTTCTCAGGCTCTGGCCTGTTGGTGGCCCCCAGAGCGGGGGCGGGGCGCGCAGCACCCTCTCGGGCATAGCAGTAGTAGTGCCCGCTCTCTGAGGACACTCCTGAGTGTACCACCACACTACAGAGGTCGTAGGCCTGGCCCCGTCCTCCAGACAGGGGCAACCGCAGCAGGAGGGGAATGCTGACATCGTCCAGGATCTTGCGGCGCCGCATGGTGCGCAGGTCAAAGGAGAAGCGCAGCAGGGTGAGGATGAGGTAGCGAGGGCCCTGGCTCAGCTCAACCACCTTCTCGGCGTCCTGCAGGGAGGCACAAGGCTCGCAGTAGTAGCGGTTCTCTGCCGTCAGCCTCTCAGGGGACAGGAAGTAGTTGACCAGATCCAGGACCGAGCGAGAACCTTCGGGGCCACACACCTGCTCCCTGGTGGAGGTGGCGGCATCCTGGAGAGCCCCTGGCCCCAGGCCGCTCTCTTCCTTCTTGTCATTCACCTCCTTCTCCTCCTCTTCCTTCTCTCTTTTCTCTTTCCCCTCTTCTTCCTTTTCCTGAGTCTCTTCCTCCTCTTCTTCCTTTCTCACTTCCACTTCCTCCTTCTCTGCTTTCTCCTTCCCTGCCTCCTCCCTCTCCACCTTCTTCTCCTGCAGGCTCTGCCCTGTTGCGATGGAGCCCAGGCCTTCCATGTCCAAAACCGCAGGGGGCGCAGCCCCGGTGATGCACTGTTTCCTCTGCCTCTGAGGCCCCACCCTGCCGGCAGCCTGAGCCGGTGGCAGTTCCTGGGCACTGCCATCCTCAGCGGCAGGGAGCATCACAGAGCCCAGCCGCCTGCGCCTGCAGCGCTCAGGGGGAGGGAAGGCCAGGGAGAGGTCCGTGAAGGCCTCCTCACGGGAAGAGACATTGAGGCAGTGGAGACAGCATATCCGAGTCACAATCTTGCCTCCAAACATTTTCTCCACAGAGGTTGAGCTGGGGCTAGGGGGTTCCTCGGGTGGGGAGGGCAAGCTGGACTGCTTCAGCTTTTGGCAAATTCTTGTCCCAGTTTTCTCCTCTTCATGCAGCCTGGAGCAAGCAGGGAACACGGGGTTTTATGTATATACAGCAGGCCTGCTTCCAGTGCACCCACCTTCTGCCTACTTTGTTCAGTAGCCAACATCTAGACATGTGCAGGAGTCCGCACAGGGAAGACACATCCATGCACAAGTCCACAGAGTTAGCACACATGCTACAGACCACCCTTCATGCATACATGACATAAAGACTGGTTTGTGGCCCAGGCCAAGGATTCGCACAAGCAAGCACAGCACACAAGTGTACACACGTACATACGTGTGTAGGGCCAGGGCCTCAGCCTCTCTTACCGATCTAGCAGATACTTCAGATACTCCGAACAGTCCTGCTGGGTTCCGGGGCTGAACCAGGGCGTCCAGGATGCAGACAGGAAGTTCTCAGGGGAGATAGCAGGCCTCTAAAACAAGGCAGGTAAAAGGCAGGGTCAGGAGCCACCTCCACCAGCTCTTGCCAGGCCTTTGGATCTACCGAGGGCTGCACTCCCAAACACCTCAGCTTCCTCACCAAGTCCCCCTTCCACGGCACGACCCATGTCCCTGCAGCCCCCGGTCAGGGCATGGGCACTGAGGTCCTGGCGGTAATGCTGCTCTCCCCTCACACACTTCAGAAAACTTTTCAGAAAACTCTGCCCACTGGCTGCCTTCCTGTCTGCCTACAGCACTGCTGCCCTCTGTTGCCACAGGCCCCAGGGCAGTGTGCCGCTCTCTCCCCAGCACGCTCCTACTCGCCCAGGTTCCCTTGCCACCTTCTCTGCCCCCTTTGTCTTCACAGGCCTTTTATCACACGCATCCTCGGGCCCACGTGGGGCTCTGCCAAATCCCCGGCCACGATGGTAGAGACAGTATTTCACCCCTGCACTCAACAACCCTCAGGTGCCTGGTGGCATGTGTGCTCAGCAGCAGCTTGGACAAGTAGAGGGGCCCCAAGGTGATAGGCTTCACTGCCAAGGAGAGGTGCGGGCAACAGGCCCTGGCGGGGGACACTGGGAGCCATCTACCCTGTCGGAGGGGCACTGAACAGGCCCAGGCGTTTTGGCTGTAAACCTGTGTCAGCCAGAAGCTCACTCCAGAGCAAGAGCTTCTAGCCAGAGGCAGGCAGGTCCCAGAGACCGTGGCATCACTGCCTGGTGGCACAGCCTTCCCCTCCTCCGCCCCCATACCTGGCTGTGCTCCAGGAAGGCGAAGAGCCACTGCAGCTTGGTCATCAAGGGCTGAGAATTGTTCTCAGTCAGCCGAAGTACACAGTGTCGAAAGCTTTGAAATAAAACAGTGCACCCAGGGTCAGCAGGGCCCTCAGAAGCCTCTCCATCAGACACCACCCACTACTCCAGGGTCAGGGGGACAGAAGACAGTGAACTATTGGCCTGTACTGACCCAAGTCAGGAACACAGCAATGGCCTTGCTATGCCAATAAAAGGAACAACAAAGTGGCTCCAACGGTCCAGCTATGATAGCCCAGGACTACAGAACCCCAATATTCAAGTGATCTAAGAGTGGGACTCTGACACACCACGAGTCAGTGTAGACATCATTGCACTCACTTGCATCCTGCTCATTGCTTCTTTGGGGAATGCCCCCCACCACCACCACCACCACACCAAGACTATCCAGACTTCGGCCTTCACCCACTCATGCTGTCCCTGCCCCAGAACTACCCCCAGCTCCCCACTGCCCTCACACGAGGCAGACAGGGTTAACATGAGCAACACTGCAGGGGCAGAAAGGTCTGATCCTACAAGGACAGCGGAACCTTTGGGATAGCTGCTCTCTGGAGCCGCAGCTGAGCTCTTGTTCTCACAAACTGCTCTGGACTGGCCAGTCCTGAATTTCTCCACACAGCCACCACTCAAAGTAGGGCCCACATAGTTGGTCTTGGGCCAGGAAGTACAGAACATACATAAACATCTAGAACTTATGGACGTGTTAATGTTCACTGTAAGCACAAAATTACATGATCATTTTTCTGGACACTCATTTTGCTGTATTTTACATACGTATTGGTCCACATATATTGAAAATAGAAAAATAGTGAGACACTGGTAGCGCATGCCAGTCATCCTAGCTACCTAGGAGACTGAGATCTGAAGATCAAGGTTCAAAGCCAGCCCACACAGCAAAGTCCATGAGACCTTAATCTCCAATTAAGCAGCAAAAAAGCCAGAAGTGGAGTGGTAGCTGAAGTGGTAGAGTGTCAACCTTAAGTGAAAAAGCGAGCAAGACCACAAGGTCCTGAGTTCAAGCCCTAGTACTGGCACACGTTCATGCATGCACATGTGCACACACGTGCGCATGCATTCGCACACACACACACACAAATCAAAAACCAAATGAAGCTAGAACTTCCCTAGGAAGGAGGAAGGAGGAGCTGCAGCAAAACTTCCCCAACTAAAATGGACAAGAGAAAAACCCAGCTTCAGCTGATTAAGCCACAGCTGCTCTTTTCCAGAAACCAAAGCTGAAACTATGAGTGATTTTTGTTTTTGCAGCAGCCTTGGTGCTTGAACTCAGGGCCTGAGCGCTGTCCCTGAGTCATGTTCAAAGCTAGTGTTCAACCACCTCAGCCACAGCTTCACTGCTAGCTTTTTTGGTGGTTAATTGAAGCTAAAAGTCTCATGGAATTCCCTGCCCAAGTTGGCTATGAACTTCAATCCTCAGATCTCAGACACCTGAGTAGCTAGGATTACAAGTGTGAGCCATCTGAGCCCGGCTACTAGGAGTGTTCTATAGCAAGTTATGAAGTCTATCCATAGCCATAGAGAATAATGACTCTGTTTCATTAAGACAGAAGCCAAAGCAGGCATGATAGGGCAAAACTAACATCCCCGAACTCAGGAGGCTGAGTGAGGCAGGAGGAGTGAGAACTTAAGGTCAGCCTGGCCTACACAAAGAAACCCATTTCCCAAAAAACAAAACAACAACAACAAAAACAGGCAGCACCTACTCGGAAGCCATGAACAAGGCCTGCAGGATGCTGTTCACGTAGCACGTGTTGCCCAGGTTGATTAAACCAATCTTGCCTGTGTCTGACTTGGCCATGAGCCGGGGGTAGAAGCCAGCCAGATCACTCTTCTGTGAGGTCCAGGCATCCTGCCCCAACAGCTGCTTGATGCGGTCCTCATTGGGAACGTGGAGGTCCTGAGGAGGGAACAAGGAGGTAGGGCAATGGGTACCATAGTCAGCTCAAAAAGTATCCCCTTCCTCGGGAAGCCTTCCTAGACGCACAGCCCACTTAGAACTATTCCAGGGACTCCGTTTGACATGTGGGCTCTCTACCTCACTTTTCAGGTCACTAATGTCTGAGGTGGCGTACCCCCCATCTTAGAGAGGATTCAGACAGAATTGTCCTGGGTCACGTGAGCATAAGTGAAGAGTTGGTGCATGTTCTCAGCAGAGCCCAGGGTACCAGATTCTAAGCACTGACAAAACCTGCCACCAGCCAAATCCAGCACGGTGTCCATTCTGTGTGAACTGTCATGCTCCCTGGCGACCCAGCCCTGCTCAGCAAGCACGCCTCTGAGTCACCCTTGACATCTCTCTGCTCAGCTTCCTCAGCTGACTGCACCTCAGTTTGGCATTCTGTACTTGCACGGAGTTTGTACACAGTGGTGCTCCCACTTCACTGCCTCCTTTTAGGTGTGCAGAACCAGATCTCAGGAGAAGCAGTCAGAATTCAGAATCCAGTCTGGCCCTGGAGGTCAGGGTGGCTGGAGGACTGAGGGTCTGAGGATGGGGTTTGTTAGTCCCGAGCTCAGGATCAGCACACCTTCCGAGGCACTTGGCATCTTGTATCACACAAGACAACAACTTCTGACCATTACCAGGCTCTAGTTTTCATAAGGAGGTATGTATAGAAAACTGCCCAAGCACAATGTGTGCTACTTACTAGGTTTGGGCCACACTCCTGACAGCTCCTCCATCCTTACTCCATTTCTGCCTGCCGATCACACCTGCCTAGGTGTGCCCAGGAGCCAGAGCCTCCCTGCAGCTTAACATCCAAACCCTCTCTCCCCAGTGCACACCCTCATGCTAACACAGGTCTTACTCAGGCTGTGCTTCAACACTTTCACAAACTCATTTCACAGACCAGATTCGTCAGTTGCCTCTCTCCAGTGATTCAAAATAATTCAAGATGACAGACAGGAGGAAACATGGGCTCAATACCTTTTTTTTTCTCTTGCTTTTATGTCCTATCTAGCCCCTCCTACACACAATATTTGGGACAAAAGACAGATAGACCCACAGAGAGAGAGAGAGAGGACATTCCTCATAGGAGATGCAAAAATATCCATGTTAGGGGAAAAAAAAATCAAAATACCATCCTTCCTGAAGAAGTAACTCTGTACTCTAGGAAAGTAAGACAAGCTTTCAGATAACTTTCAAACTCCTAATGCTACTGGAAACATCCATGATGGCCTAAGCAAACAACTACAGCTCCCCAAGTGACTGTCATAACTTTGTATATCCCGGTGAGCATTTTCCAAAATTTACCTACAAGTATATAAGGATATGGGTACACTATACATGTGAAAGAATTTCCTGTCACTTGCCGCCTTGTCTATCAAACTGGCTTGTACCAAGGATTATGATTTCAAAGTCCCGGGGCAAATGTGACACGTATTTCTGGTGCCACATTTCTAATATATAAATGATGCCTACATAAAGGCAAATGCTTATACTTCTGCAGCATGTATCCAAGGCTTTGAGGTAAAATGGACTGTAGAGAAATTCTCTGGTAAGCCGTTCCTCTGCCATCAGGTGTACCCTGATAGGAATAGTTGAAAAGCGCAGATTTAACTAGACTAAGAAATGTGACACGGCCCAGTTTCCAATCACTAAGCTCGCATTACCAGCATACCGGACCTCACCTTCCCACCCGGGTATCTTTGCCTCTGACTCATTTGCAGCCTCCTCCTGCTGGGAGTCCCTAACAGTCAGACCCTACCATGCCTACTGGGATTTCTAAGAAGCTTCTCCAGTGGGCTCCTATGCTATCTCGACCTTCCTTAGTCACTTCCTGTGACTCAACTTCGTCCCCTGGACCAGCATATAAAGGTTTCCCTCACATTCCATGCAGAACTACTCTCCTTCCTCCATTCTTGCCCACTTTACAGTATGTTCCCACAGCTGCCACTGATGACAATCTACTCATCTACCTCATCGCTGGGCACAGAAGACAGAATAGCAGCTCACAACCTAGCAGGAAAACAGTCCCAATGATACCAACATACTGGACAGTGTCTCCTCTGCTCACACACTACCAGGGAGCTCAAACTCGGCTGTGGACCCCTCCTGCTGTGCCTTTGTAAACACTTGTCATATTTGAAAAACAGAAAATCCAACACATTGCCAGAGGTTTGGCTTATTGGGTATATGTTCAGTCATGGTAGACTGAATTTTGCAATATTCACATTATAAAACTGTCTTCAATATGTTATCTTGTGTGTGACAGTACTGGGGCTTCAACTCAGGGCCTGGGTGCTATCTCAGCTTTTCTGGTCAAGGCTGGCACTCTACTGCTTGAGCCACAGCTACATTTCTGGTTTTTCTGGTTAAAGATAAGAAAGACTCATGGGCATTCCTTCCCAGACTGGTTTCAAACATGGATCCTCAGATCTCAGCCTCCTGAGTAGCTAATATTACAGACATGAGCCATCAGGACCCAGTAATCTAAGTATCGTTATGGCGGCTTGATTTGTGTCTTCAGGGCAATCCATGGATATCCGAAACTTATGGATACTTTTCATGCACAGGCTGCCCTTCCAACCCAAAAAGTGATAGGAATTTAAACCCCCAAGTACACCTGACAGCAAGATGCTGGTTACCATTTCTCTTTCCCCGATCCAGAGCCAAAACAAAGCGGGACAGTTTCCATCATGTCTATTTTGGACCACATGCATTATTTCTCCCAGCTTACTTTGCGGTGAAGCCTTCTTTGGCTTTGGTGCTCCAGTGGCTTCCTATGGCTGCTCTGCAGGGAACAAGCCCTAAGCCTCCAGCCCTGCTCCTGCCAGCTCAAGCACTGGGGACTGAAGATGGCCATCTTGTCTGTCCCTCACCCCAAACCCAAGGCAAAAAGAACACTTTTCACAAAGCTCATCCTGGAATTGTTTTCCTTTTCTGCCCCTGGGGATCCTCCTGACTTTCTTAAAGGCTCTGCTGAGACCTTTGTTGTTCCTTCACAAGCATTCCCAGAAGTTTCCTAGGGGAGTGCTTGGCGAGTCTGGCTGGCTGCCATGCTGCAGAAGTGAAAATCAGATCTTCCCCTGCACAGGTGTGGGGAAGGCCAACGCCCAGCCTCCCACACCTTGATCCAGGGACCAAACAATCACTAAGCCTCAGTTCATGTACGAAAGTGAGGTGGCATCTGCTTTTATGTTTCTTGTGGACCTTAAAAGATAAAACGTGCCGTCAGCTGCACTGGACACTGATGAAAATGAACTAAGCAATTCAAGCGCAGCGATGGGAGGGAGGGAATGAGAGAGAACGAGGGAACAGCTTGCACTAAGAGCAAAAGGAAAGAAATGTACATAGCATCCAATCTGGAAGAAATAGTTTGTACTGTCAAAGCTTATAGAATTCACAAACTTTATAGACCATGATAATGACAATTTGACTTGTGAAGGCTAAAAATGTGCTTGTGACTGTAACTCAGTATCACTGTCCCACAATACTGTGAAATTTGTGAAATTTATATAATCACTTAATGTCAATAAAAAAAATATTTTGAAAAAAGATAAAGCATGGACAAGGGCTATCAAAAAAAGTCCTGCTATCTGTAGGTGTTTGTGGTTGTCAGAGCCTAGCAATCTATCGACACACTCAAAGCTCCTTCTTGTAGCCTCCTCCTAACTGAGGGCCTTTCCCTCCTCAGCACTTTACTGACTTGGGGACAACCCCCACAAACAATTTTATAAGCTGGTTAAATCAGATTTTGTTTTCCTTTTTTTTTTTTTGGTTTTGTTTTTTACTATCCTGGGACTGTACCCAGTGCTTCATAGATGCTAGGCAAAAGTTCTACCACATGAATCACATCCCAGCCTTTTTTTTCCCCTTTGGCAATAGAGTCTTGGTAACTTTGCCTGGATTGACATTGATCTTACGATCTTGCCTCCACCTCCCTAATAGTTGGGATTACAAGTATGCGCTATTGTATAGAGATCAGACTTCCTTTTGTATGCAGGTCTGTGATACACACCCCACTAGGCAGCAAGTTCCCAGATGGAGATAGCTGTGTTTTCTTCATGTCTGTGTCCCCGGTCCCTAGCCCCCACTTGGCACAGAGACGAGCATCAGCAGTCCTATGAACAAGCATAAGTCATCTGTCCTCTCTGGCCACAGCTTGGTGGGGACAGGCACACACAGTGATAATGTGCTAAGAGTATGTAACAGGGAGAGCTTTGGGTGCCCTGAGAGGATAGACTGAGAGTTATCAAGGAAGGCTTCTTGCGGGGGCAGCACTGGAGCAGAGAATGAGGACACGCAGGTGCTGGGCAGTTGAACGGTGAGAAGGATGAGCATGCACGAAGGCTCAAGGCAGTCATGACAGAGTGTGGCCACTCCAGGGCTGGGCAGCTCAGCGCGCCTGAGGCACAAATGTCACTGGGGAGGTGATAAGGAGGGAATCAGGGGAGCAAATATTGGGAAGCTGCCACCAGCCTTAAAGAAGGCCCTTAACTGGCACCTGTGCTGCAGCAGTGTGAGGGACAAGCAGGGGACAGTCACTCACCTTGATGGCCTCCATGACAGGCTCATACAGGTCTGGGAAGCCAGGGAATCGGAACACCATGCAGTGGACCAGCTCCGCCAGCTGCTCCAAGCAGCTGGTCCCCGAGTTCGAGTCCTCCTTGACCAGAGAGGTCACCATAGGGGGGATGTGAGGGAGGAGCTGCAAGAGCAGGGGTGGGAGCAGAAACATGGGATGAGGTCATGGCTGGAAGCACTGGAGGGTTCTGAGACCCCAAGGTCTGCACACTGACCATTACCTGGGCACCCCCTCCCCGCTCCCGCCTGGGCCCAAATGGGCTGAGCCCTGTGCAACATGATTTCCTTGGCAAGACATAGCACCTAAGACTCCCTGCCTCGGTTTCTTCATTTGCAAAGCAGGAACATTAACACCTCCTCACAGCTGCAAGGCCTCAGTGTAGCTATTCAGCCTCAACCAGCTGACCATATCCAAAAGCCACAAGGTCTGAATGACCACAGCTACTCTGTCCATCAGAGGCAATGGAGGGGGCTGGGAAGGTGGCTCAGTGGTAGAGCGCTTGCCTTGCATGCATAAGGCCCTGGGTTCGATTCCTCAGCACCACATAAGCAGAAAAAGCCAGAAGTGGCGCTGTGGCTCAAGTGGTAGAGTGCTAGCCTTGAGCTGAAGAGCTGAGGGACAGCGCCCAGACCCAGAGTTCAGGCTCCATGACTAACAAAAACAAAAACAAAAAAACAGAGGCAATGGAAGATGAGCACGGCATCTAGAGACAAACACCATCACTCTCCTATCACACATTTCCAGGTCAAGCACAGCATCCTCTCCATGGCCTAAACAGTAGCTGCAGCCCTCCTGTTATAGAAGAGGCTGAAGTTACAAAGGTTGTGTAAATTTTAATTTTCTGGCCATGCTCAAGATCAGGCAAGCACACTAGGACCAAGCCATACCTCCTACCCAGAAAGGTCATGTGATGTGCCAGGGTTTCATCTGGGGAGGCAGGGAGGTTAGAAGAGGATGGTGCCCGAACCAGATCCACTTGTGTCTAATGCACGTTTCTTCCCCTGTCCTATGGAGTTTCAATTTTCAAACCCCATGAGGTGCATATCATAATGTCACAACAGGCAGCCAGGACAAAGGAACAAGGAGAAGGATGGTAGCATCAAGCCCCTGACTTGTGGCAGCTTCAGACAAATTATCACATCATCTAATCTCTTCCTACCATCCTAGAGTGCAACCCCTTCTACTTCATACAAGGTCCCCATATTGAGCAAGTAAACCCCAATCCCTGGCTCTGGGTTTTTCTTAAACAAGCTAGGAAATATGAGGTTTCACTGCCCTGATCAGGAACTGTCTGAATCACGGGCCTCACATACAGATCCCAGGGGAAGCAGGCAGGCAAAGTGAGAGGTCCCAGAGACAGTATAAAGGCCTGAGCTACAGGCTAAGCTGCTGGAGGGAATGGGGTATAAAGGGGTTGGGGCTTTAAGTTCACACTAATGTGGCTTGACCTTTCTCCCTTCCCCACTTCCACACACCAGCTATAATCCCAGAATGAGTGACTTGATCCTCCCAGTGCAGTTTCTTCATCTCACAGAGAAAGAGTCCAAGAGTGAGAAGAACAAATATGCATCCTGTCCGTAGCCCTGGGCCTGGCACAGGGCCGACCCTGAGGAACACTAGCTGTTATCAGTCTATGCTTTGACGTTACTGTGTGTTCCAGGAGGGCCACACGACTTGTTAGGCCTCAGTTTCACATCTGTACAATAGAGTCTCAGTCCTCTTCTTGTACTGACATCCAGAATTCAAGCCCTAACCCTGACCGAAGCAGAGACGCTGGCTTCCAGGGCCAGAGAGGCACTTACCAGATGGAAGGCTTCATGTGAATGCTGGAAAGTCAGAAGCATATACTTGAGAACAGATAAGGCGGCTCCCCGGACGATGGGGTACAGCAGCTTGGAGAAGACCTAAAAAATAGTCGCTGGTCAGGAATCCCCCCAACTCGCCCCAACACCTGGGCCACTCACAGCTGAATACAGCTTCAGTAGACACCCTGAGGGAGTCAGACACAGCAGAGCTGAAACAGCAGCCCTATGTGAAAGCAAGAACAAGAAAGTGCTCACAGAGCCAAGTAGACCAAAATGGGCAGCAAGACAGCTGATGGATGGATGGGTGGATGGATGGATGAATGGACCAATAGGGTTAACAGAATGAAGGTGGGTAGCCTAAAGCCTAGAAAGAGGCAATGAATTTGCCTAGATCACACAGCAGAGCTTGGCAGGGAGTGTGGGGGTAGGGGGAGTTCTCTACCTCCCAGCCCTGCATTCCCCTAGCAAGAGACTAGCAGGAAAGGCTACCAGCTCGGGCTGGGACAGGGGCCACCAACCTTTTCAATTTTGGCGAGTGAAACCTCGATCAAGATGCTGAACTTCTTAACAGCGGCCAGGCCCTTCAGCAGGGCAATGATCCACTTGTCAATGTTCTTCCCCAGGGGCCAGGACACCCAGTCGATCATCCTGGTGAGGGGAGTGACAGTGACACAGGGCCGAGGGCAGCCCAAGGACCAGCCACAAAGACGTGCATCCCCAAACTGCCTCACACGTTTGCACAGGGCAGTCCCTGGGTCCATGGAATGAAGACATTTCTGGAAAATGTAAATGAGCCCAAAACCTGGCAGAGGAGAGAAGCCAGAAGGCACCCAGGCACTCACACTGGCTTCTAGCTGTCTCTGCCCAGAAGACAGCATTGCCCTAGGTCTGAAGAGCTTGGGATACCCTATGACCTAGAGCAAGCCACTTCCCCTTCCTGAGGATAGCTCCTTCCCAGGGTTGTCATATTGACTGAAAGAAGGTAGGATAGTTGGGTGCCAGTGGTTTAACCCAGAGGCAAACAACTAAAGGATGGTGGTTCAAAGCCAGCCTGGATAGATAAATCATGAGACTGAGTCTCAAATTAACCAGCAAAATGCTGGTTAAACGTATGGTTCAAGTGGTAGAGTGCCATCCATGAGCAATATAGTTGATTGAGTCCCCAAGTTCAAGGGTTTGTTGTTTTTTGTTGTTTTTTTTTTTAATGCCAGCCTTGGAGCTTGAACTCAGGGCCTGGGCTCTGTTCCCGAGCCTCTCTGTGATCAAGGCTAGTGCTCTACCACTTGAGCCACAGTGCCACTTCTGACTTTTTAGGAGTAGTCTTTTGGATATAAGAGTCTCACAGATGTTCTGGCCCAGGCTGGCTTTGAACCATGATCCTCAGATCTCAGCCTGCTGACTAGCTAGGATTATAGGCATGAGCCACCAATGCCAGGCTAACTTCAAGTATTTCTTTTTAAAATTTTTTTTAAATGGCAGCAATAACCAGCCTATGCAGTGACTGCTCTGCTTCATGTGAATTAACTCATTGTTCAAGAAAACATAACCATTGGCATCATCTGTATGTTCATTACTACAAAGAGGGAAAACAAGAGTAATGATCATTGCAGTAGCAATGGCTCCCATGGCCTGTTCTAGGCACGTTATATGGTTCACCTCAATCTAACTGAATCCTCCTATATAGTGGGCTCAATGATACCACTTTAGAGCTGAGGAAAGTCAAACACAAAGGTTTAATAATCCCAGAGGTGGGGCTGGGAAGGTGGCTCAATGGTAGAGTGCTTGCCTTGCATGCATGAGGCTCTGGGTTCGATTCCTCAGCACCATATAAGCAGAAAAAGCTGGAAGTGGTGCTGTGGCTCAAGTGGTAGAGTGCTAGCCTTGAGCTGAAGAGCTGAGGGACAGCGCCCAGGCCCAGAGTTCAGGCCCCACGACCAACAAAAAAAAAATCCCAGAGGTGAGAAGTGGAGGCAGGATTTGCCCTCAGGCACAGTATGTGCATTTCCGAAGAGCCCCTAAGACGGTTGATCTGCACGTAGGGATGGCAGCAATGGCAGGAGGCATGGGTGAGGACTGTGCAGGCCAAGGACTGAAGGGAGGATAGGTGGCATACTCTGGGGTCACAAGACAGGCGGGTTGGTTAGAACACAGGTGTGACAACATTTACATGAGGGAGGCAGGATGTACATGGGCTCTGTGAGCTGAAAAGCACCCAGGTCTCGTTTAAAGTATTTTCCAAACTCAGACAGCACATTATAAAGACTTTCATTTTTTCTTACCACCACCCACCTCCATTTTTACAGACGGAGAAACTGAGGCTGCAAATTCACTGGCATTTCCTGGGTCATGTAGCTGGTACTTTACCTGATGGCCTCATTAGGGCAGGGCTCTGTGTCTCACATCCTACTCAGGCCAAATGCAGATCAGGAATTGAAAACACATGCTATCACCAGTCAGCAAGTAAAAAGGGCCTGGCCCCGAACCTAAATCTCATCTAGCCATCTGAAAGGAACACTCCTAAGAGGAGGAGGGAGTTGGCCCCTCCCACCACCTGGCCCTCAGCACCCACCTGCTGATGGCAGTCAGCATCTGGGAGTCTGTCACACTGTCATCATTGCTGAGGTTCCGGACAACACCATCCATGAGCTCCAATGGGAGATGCTGGACCACACTGGCCAGGGCGCTGGACGGTGGCTCCTCCTCTGAAACAGGGACTTACACTGAGTTCTCTGTGCCCTCATGCTACACAGAGCTAGGCTGGGCCCCTGCAAAGGAGGGTCACCTCATCTTTCCCTGCAGCATTACATATGAACTCACTCAACAACCCTTCAGTGGCACTTCTATGGACCCAGTCCTGGGCACAACCTCTAAGTGCTGGACCTGAAATTTCTTTAGGAGAGATGACACTGCAGCTGATTGGAAAAGTAGGAGGGGTGGGTGAACTTGGAGGAAGGGGCACGCCGGGTGCGATTGATCACACAGAGGCAGAGGCCAGCAAGTACACTTGCTATAAAACTTTGTTGTTCAATTGTAAGGACCCAAAACCTTATATACACAGCCTTTGAACTTCTTCCTGTCAAACACATTCCCTACCTTTCTGACCTATGCTCAGGAACGGCCCAGATCTCAGCTTAGTCATTCACACTTAGAATCCGAATCCAACACAGTCAACAGAGGCTCAAAAGTCTACAATGAGCCAAGCACTTGTGGCTCATGCCTATAATCCTAGCCACTTAGGAGGCTCAGATCCAAGGATGGTGGTTCAAAGCCAGATTGGGCAGAAAAGGCCATGAGATTCTTATCTCCAACTAGCCAACAAAAAAAAAAAGCCAAACGTAGAGCTGTGGCTCAAGTGAGAGAGAGATAGCCTTGAGCAAAAAAGGTCAGAGAAAGTTCTCTGACCCTGAGTTCAAGCCCCAGGACCAGCACACACACAAAATAAGTCTACAGTTAACACCTGCAAGCTCCTTAAAGGCTTGAATTCTGCTACTCAACTTGAGAGGGTCATGTAGCTGATTCGTCCCCACATCTAGCCCAGGGCCACATACAGAGCAAGGGCTTAATAGACAAATCAGTAAGTTTGAGGACCAAGCCTCTGACCTAAATCTAACCCAGCATCTCCTGCCAAAGGAGCTCTCAAAAGGAGGGGTCCACGCTGGGCGCCAGTGGCTCACGCCTATAATCCCACCTACTCTGGAGGCTGAGATCTGAGGATCACGGTTCAAAGCCAGCCCCGGCAGAAAAGTCCATGAGACTCTTATCTCCAATAAACCACTAGAAAACCGGAAGTGGCGCTGTAGCTCAAGTGGTAGAGCGCTTGCCTTGAGCTAAAGAGCGCAGGGACAGTGCCCAAGCCCAGAGTTCAAGTCCCAGGACCGACCAAAAATAAAATAAAGGAGGGGTCCAGGGTAACTCTTAGAGCCCAACTTCTTCTTGGGTGGTGGTGTGCACCTGTAATCCCAACTACTTGGAATATAAGCAGAATTGAGAGTTCTGAGGCCAACCGGGGCAAAGTCATCATAGACCCTAACTCAAAAACCAAAATACAAATATGGCTGTAAGTGTGGTTCAAGTCTCAGTGAGTAAAGATGCCCTGGGCTCAAGCCCCAGCATGGGAAGAGGACAACCAAAGAAATACACACAACCTGGCCACTTCACCCACTATGTTGTGGGCTTGCTCAGACCCTTAGTCCTTCCTCCCACACCAGGCACTGCACACCTGCAGCTGCAGCCCTGACCACGGGCCAGGACTCACAGCAGGCTATAGCTCTGCTAAAAACAAAGATGTGCGGTAGCATCCTCCCCCTCTTCCCCCCCCCCCCACACCTGTGCGTTCACCCTTCACCCAGGGGCCCCTGGAGATACCTGCGGACCAGACAGGGCCTTGGCAAGCCCTGCTCCCGGCTACACGCACCTGTGCAGGAGATGACAGCAAACAGCTCCTTGAGGCAGGGCAGGATGGCGGCGGGCTGGGCGCGCCACAGCTGCGCCAGGAGCCCGCTCACCTGCTGGGCCTGCTCCAGGAACTCCACGGCGCCCTCCTCGCCCTCGGCGGGGCAGCGGAAACGGCCGAGGCAGCGCACCAGCTGCTGGCAGAAGAGCAGGCGGTGCGGGCCGTCGGGCACACAGCGCGGGTGCCGCGCGAGCAGCCGGGCGACCTGCGCGCAGGCGGCGGGCCCCGCGCGCTCGCACACGGCGCGCAGCACCTCGCGCCGCAGCAGCGCGAACACCTCCTCGGCCGCGGGCCCCTCGGGCAGCAGCTGCAGCCCCAGCTGCACGCAGGCCAGCGCGCGCGCGCCCGGGGGCCCCGCGCCCCCCTGCAGCAGGCGCAGCACGCGACGCGCGCTGAAGAACTCGGCGAAGACGTCGGGGTGGTGGCGCCCGGCCACGTGCAGCAGCTGGCAGCCCACGCGGCGCGGCAACTCGTCGGCGCCTCCCACGTAGAGGCGCGCGCCCAGGGCCAGCAGCGCCAGGCACTGCTCCCGCTCCAGCGGCTGCCGGGCCGCCTCCAGCACGCGCCGCACCAGCCCCTGCTTCACACTTGCCGGGTACGACGAAGTCACCACCGCCTCCAGGATCTTGTCCATGACGGCTGGCCGCTGCGGGAGGGGAGGGACAGAAGGCGGGAGGTCACACCCTGCCCTGCAGCTCTGGGGATCCAGAGACCGGGGAGCCCGTGGCCAATTCCTGGGGAGTAGAATCACCTGGGGGCTAGCCCTTGGGTGGAGCACCTGGACCTTTCCGGGTCTTGGTTTGGTCTTTTGTGAAATGGGGTAAGGAAACCTACCTGGCTGGAAGTGCACATCTGGCCATGTTAAAAACAAAACCAGCTGGGATGTAGGTCAGTGGACAAAGCACTTGCCTAGCAGTTCCAATGTCCTGAGTTTGATCCCCAGTACCAAAGCACGCGCACACACACACACACACACACGGCCACCAGGAAGAGAGGGGTAACAGGCCAGCAGAAGGGGCTTCCCACCATCCTTCACACTTTATTCTGCTCCCTCCTCCCAAATAACTTATTCCTTTGTAAGACTCTACTTTTCCAAGGGTGGCATGTTTGCCTGACCTATCTTATCTCTAAGCCCCAATGACCACACTCACACTAGGCAAACATCTTTTCCAAAACACCTGCTCTAGGTGAGCCAGTCAGGGCCTGTGGGCATAAATTCATCCACTGGTGATTCCTATAACCCACCTGTATGTAGCCTGTTCCTCCATGACAGCTGCCACTACTTAGAGCTGGGGAAAGATGGGTCCTCTAACTGCCACAGAGGCGGAACAGCTCTGTGTTCAACCCCTCCCCACACGGGCACGATTCCACAGCCCTGTACACCCAGTACTCCAGCCTCACCCCACACAGTCTGCGCTCAGCTTTTCCTCGCCACTACCTTTGTGCATGCTCCTCCCTCCCGTTCTGGCTTGACTAACACTTCACACCCCAGCTGAACCTCACTTCTTCAAGGAAGCCTGCCCTGACCTCCCTGGCTCCTAGTTAAAACCCCAAACAGCCTGTCCCTCTCCTTCAGAACACTTGCAACTACATGACTATGGTCAACCTGCTGCATAATACTGTGTCTGGTCAAGTTTTGCTCATCAAAGTGAGCACAGAACCTAGCACAGACGAGACATTTGTGAATGAGAAGTGCAGACAGAGTGAGTGACTCAACCTCACTCCTCTGAGAGGTAAGAGCCTCTCACCTAGGCTATTTTCTAGAAAGCTTTGGCTCCGACTGCCCCACTCTGATTCTCACTCTAGTTCTTAGGGGTACAGCTTGCTCTCTTCATACCCAATGCTCAGCAACTAGAAGGCAGGGCCATCATTAGGCTTCTCTGGTCATCTTTTTCTAAGCAGGACTAGATAGAAGACTCAGCATGCAATATTTAACCAAATGCACCAGCTCAATGAAAACTGCTGGAGCCTCCTACCTACAACTTACTGCAGTAAAGTCTGGCCAGAAAAGTTCTGTATTTATAGCCCTAGACCTTTGGGGGGCCCAGCTATGTGCCAGACCCTGTGAAGATGCTCCTATCTGTCTTAGTTCTTTGCTATGAACAAAGGTTATACACATGGGCCACTTTGCTTTATCTCTCACCAGGTTGTGAACTCCTGGGGGCAGGGTCATATCCCAATCTGAGTAGATCCTCTTAAGAGTTCATTATAATTACACTGGGCACCATGGCTCACAACTGTAAACCCAGCTATTTGGGAGGTGAGATCAAGTTCCAGGCCATTCCAGCATTAGTAGACTATCTCAGCCAGGCACTAGTGGCTCACACCTGTAATCCTAGCTACTCAGGAGGCTGAGACCTGAGGATCATGGTTTGAAGCCAGCCCGGCAGGAAAGCCCATCAGACTATATCCAATGAACTTTCCCCACCGCCTCCCCCCCAAAATGCCAGAAGTGGAGCTATGGCCAAGTGATAATTCACTAGGCCGTGAGCAAGAGTAGCTCAGGAACAGTGCCAAGGCCCTGAGTTCAACCCCCAGGACTGGCACAAAAAAATAAAATAAAATAAAAAAGTATCTCAAAAACAAGATAGTGTCCCATGTCTGTGGTCCAACTACTCAAGTGGGAGGAAGAGGTTGGAGGATCAAGACCCAAGGTCATCCCAGGCAAAAGTACAAGATCCTATCTTTAAAAAAAACAAACCAAAAAACCTAAAAGCAAAAGGACTGGGATATCCCTCCAGCATTAGAGCACCTACCTAAACAAACATAAGGTCTTCATTTCAAACCCTGGTATTGCCAGACTTCACTGTGGTTAACGGGAGCAGCTATGATACAGGATCCATGTCCTGGCTGCCTCAGTTGGGATACATTCTAGTTACCTAAAGGTTACTTATGCACCCTGTTTTTTCCTTGCACAATCATGATGACAAACATAAAGTCCACAGCATAGTGGTGGGCACAATGAAGTTCTCAGAAAATGTCAATTCCTGTGGCTTTCGAAGCAAAGTTCAAGCACTTTAAGAAGCTTCCAGTCGGATGGTGGAGGCAGATAGATTTCAAAAGATGCCTATACAAGACATAAGGTCAAAGTCCTTTAAAAACCATGTTTAGTCAAGTGCCTGTGGCTCTCGCCTATAATCCTACCCACTCAAGAGGCTGAGATCTGAGGAGCAAGGTTCAAAGCCAGCTCAGGCAGGAAAATCCATGAGACTCATCTCCACTTAACTAGCAAAACTAGAAGTATAGGCACTATTCAATGATTGAACAGAAAAGCCATGCAAGAGCACAAGGCCTTGATTCCAAGGCCTGGTACCAGCAAAAACAAAACTATGTTTCGTGGGTGCCAGTGGCTCATACCTGTAGGCATAACTACTTGGAAGGCTAAGATTGTTGGGATCATGGTTCAAGGCCATGAAAAAAAGTCCACAAGATCCCTTCTCTTCAAGGAGTAGGACACATTGCAACAGCTAAGTAAGCCTAATAAGACTGGATCACATCCAGGCATATTGGGTAGGAATCTTACCTGACATTAAATAACCTGCAAAAATCAAGACTGGAAACATAGCTAAGTTCAAACAACAACAGAATCACAGGGCTGGAGGCATGGCTCAAGTGGGAGAGTGCTTGCTCTGAGTGCAAATCCCAGAACTGCCAAAGAAAGGGGGGAGAGGGGGGAGAATGGACTGGTCACCAGGTTGGTGGTGTAGCTGAATAGAGCATTTTCCCAGCATTCTCAGCTCTGGGTTCAATCCCCAGTACTAAAAGAAAAGAGAACTAACTTGCCTCCTTCAGCTCTGTCCTCTCTTGCTAAAGCAGTGCCTTTTTTTTCTCTTGTGCTGGTCCCGGAACTTGTATTCAAGGCCTGGGCGCTGCCCCTGAGCTTTTTTGCTCAAGGCTAGCATTCTACCACTTGAGCCATAGTTCCACTTCCAGCTTTTTAGTGGCTAATTGAAGATAAGAGTCTCATGGACTTTCCTGCCCAAGCTGGCTTCAAACCACCATCCTCAGATCTCAGTCTCCAAAGTAGGTAAGATTACAGGTGTGAGCCACAGGCACTAGTGCTCAAAGGTCAAGTTTTTCTTCTTTTCTTGCCAGTCAGCTGTGTGATCTCCCCTCTATTGATGGTTGACAGTGTCTTTAACAGGCAAGTAGCTCGGGCCAACCTCACTCTATCCTGGGAGGACGCTCTCCCAGTCCTATAGACTAATTAGTGTGACATGCTTTCAACCCAGGGTGTCAAGAAAGCCTAGTCCTCAGGCCACTAAGGAGACACATAGTCAGAGAGGGCCTGATATCTTTTGTGGAACATTACAGAACAGGGGTGAAATTAGAGTTCTAGGGCCAGGAAAGGTTCTAGAAGAAGAAGAAAAAAACAGAGTAGAAATGGACCTGACATAAGGCATATCCATGGTCCTCATTTCTCATCTGAAATATGCAGATAAATGACATGAAAGTTGATGTGGCTTGAAACCATGTGATCAAACACTGACGATTTCCTATCATCCTGCCTAAAACACTCACCACCTGCCATGGGCTGTGACCAAGCGGCTGGGAACCCCGGCAGCAGCAGTGTTCTGGGAAGGCTCCCGTGCCCAAGGCCAGCCCTGCTGGGTCTGTGGCCTGGTCATACCACAGGGCCCTGCTTCCTGCCCCCACTCCTACGCCAGCAGTCAAGTCAGCGGTCACCATGGTCACCAACAAACCCACTCAATCATCTCTTGGATGCATTCATGAAAAAGGGTTTTAAAGGCTTCAACCTCACCTAACCCCATCACAAGCTGGGGCAGGGAGGCAAGGGGAGGGAAGCTGAGAAGCAGTGACAAGAGGGTAGGTGACAGCAGGATTAGAACCTGCAATCTCTCCGTCCGGGAGGAGAAGCCGGTGGCCACTAGCACTCCTCACAGGAGGCTAGGTCACTTCACTAAGGCCCCGGATGTGGAGACAGCCAGTCTACACTGGCTCTGACCCAAGACAGAGCTTCCTGTGCCAAGCACAGCTGCGGACAGCAGCCCTCCTGCCCCAGAAGAGCCCGTGTCCAGAGCAGGGGACCCAAGCTGTCTGCCTCAGAATCCCCAGGTGACCTGGGGAGCTCCTGCCTGACTCCTCAGCCTTCTCCCTAGAGAGTGGGGCCATGCTGGGCCTGCCACTCTCAGGATTGGGAAAAGGTATAAAAAGGGTAGGAGCAGGGTAGTGGTGGGTTTATTCTTGGGCCATGTGGCATTGAGAAAAGAAACAGCCAGGGGAAAGAGATAAAACATACTGAGGATCTAGCTGTTTCTACAAAGAATTAGCTCTTCTTACTTCTGGCCTGGACTAGGGCAGTAGTCTCCTACCCAACCTCAGCCTGCCCTCCCATCATCCATCTTCCAATAGCAGTGCACGTCCCAGAAGAAACCAGTACCACCCACCACAGTGGGCAAACCCATGATAGAAGTGCTCCTCCACGCCTCTGAGCATCCCAACTCCAAAGGGAAAAATCACTTCCTGCTCTTCCTTTGCCCTTTCCCAGCCAGCACAGCAGCAATGCCCACCCCAACCCTAAACTTAAACCCTAGCTCCACTGGCAAGATAGCCAGTGGAATCCCAGCAACACCCTCACAGCCCAGGCCACATGGAAGACTCATGATCCCTCCCCCGGAAGGCCCAGATCCTATCAGCTGCCCCTCTCCAATGACCCTTGGTCTCTCTGCTGTGTGCTGACAAATCCTTGCTCCTTCATGGGGGATTCTGGCTTGTCTCCATCACCCCAAGAGTCCAGTGTGGGTCCAATCCCCAACTCTGTGCACAAGGCAGGACAGTGGCCAGACACAGAGATGTCATGAAGGTGTGCCCAGTGATAACATAAAATCAAGGATGCAGCCAGAAAAGTCCCTTCTAGAAGCAGCTGAACCCTACCCCTTCACTGCCCAGGCCTGGTCTTGACAGTCACAACTCTGACAATCTAAGCATCACACACAGAGGTCACTAAACAGCATTGAAAAAAAAGCCTCACCCATCCTGGAACAGCAAAACAAAAACCTTGTTCCTGTTTAACCCACAGGTCAGAAGCTCTCTGAGTCTCATCAGTAGGAGAGAGGGTCTCCCAAGGTCTCACTCACTCACTAGTAATGGGCAGTAGTTCCCGGTCCCTGCTCAGCACATAGAGCAAAGGAGCTCATTTGCTCCCTCTTGGATCCTCATACTCAGCCTCCCTTCTCGGACTCCTTTGGATGCCAGAGCTGCTTGAAGGGTGGCTAGCTGTCCCTCCCACCAGGAAGTTCCCTCCCTCCATCTCTGGCTCCTGGGGTCTTGGCAACTGCATCGCTATTTTTTTTTTTTAATTTTAGCTGAATTTCGAGCCAGGACAGCCCTGGGAAGGTACTTTCCTCCTACTCTGAGAGGCACTCGCCTGCACCACGACACTGGCTTTTGAAAGTGAGAACAGGGGAGTGGCTGTTCCATCCTCAGGGGCACAGCACACACCCCCACCCTGCAGGTCACCCCTCAAGAACCTCTAGATGGGAGATTCCCCCTTCCCCTCCTGGGTTTCTGGAAGGGAAGGGACCAAGTTGACAAGTCAGGTCTGCAATCTAAAAGCCTTGATAGGTGAAGTGCTCAGGTCCAAGATGCTGGAATAGCAGAGGCCTACTCCGAACAATGGTGGCCCCCTCCCTCCCACCAGTGCAATGGTGCCCAGCCCAGCGAGCTGATGCCCGCACTAAAGACTAGAAGCTTCTTGGTACTAGAAGAGGATGCTGTCAACCCTGAGAGGGGAAAGAGCTGTACCAACCAGATACATACAGTTGATGATGAAGGAGGCTGAGGCCCAGAGAGGGGTAGCTACTCGCCCAAGGTCACACAGCAAGGCCCAGCAAGCACCTCCAGACCTCCGGACTCCCAGCCTCGGGCTCTCAGAGCCCTATGGGCAAGTATGGGGCACTCAAGATGTCAAGATGCAGACAGCTCCCCAACTCAAACACACAACCCCCAGCCCCTTTACCTCTCAGACCTCAGTGGGCCTTACCTCAGACCTGGCTTCTGGGCGGGGTACTCAGGCCAGTGTGGACCAAGCTGGGCTGGGTTAGGTCAGGGCGGGTCCTCCGCTCCCACTAGGGAGGGGTCGCCCTCCTCCAGTCCCAGACGGCAGGGATGCTGCTCCCACTGCAAAGTCCAATTTACCTAGCTCGCTTTGCACAACCCTGCACGGACCCAGGCAGCCCGACTGTGGTGCAGCCGAGGAGCTGCGGGACGAAGCGAGGGGGAGGGGCGAGGTGCGGGAAACGGGGCGGAGCCGGAGTGGGGGTCACCGGCGAGCCGCTACTCGGGCCGCGTCCCCTTTAAGACCAGCTGGCCTGCGCGCAGGACGGGCGGGGGCCGGAGCTGGACGGTTCTCGCAATGCTTCCTGGGAGGTGGAGTTTATGCGGGGGGTGATTCGGGGCCGCACGGATCCCGGAGAGGACTACCAGACCCAGAATGCAGCGCGCGCGGCCCCACGCCGCCCCGCCCCGAGTCTGGGCTCCGGCCCACCGCCCCCTCGCGAAGCTGCGCTGGCCGCCCGCGGAGGGGAGAGGCTGCCGAGCCGGGGCAGGAGGTGGGTGCGGCGCGGGCCGGAGCAGGGGGACTTGGGACCTAGCGGTGAGGAGACGCGGGCCCACTGGGCACCCGTCCTGCCAGGAGAGGTCATCCGCCCCAGCCTCCGCGTTGTCATCTGTGAAATGGGGCGGCCTGGCTCGTGGCTGCGGGGGAGGGGGCGCTGCTGGGGGGCAGGCCGGCGGGCGGGGCCGGGGGGGGGGGTCGGTACTGTGGGCGGAGCCTCGGGCGGGAGGGGTCTGAAGGTGAGAACGGAGGATTCGTGGCGGATCCGAGGTCAGAGCTGAGGAGCGCGTGCTGCGCACCCCTGGGCTGGATTGAATAATGGTGCTTGGAGGAGTACGCACCGAGATCCAAAGATTGAAGGGACCCCCCCCCCCCAGAACGGAGCGGGGCGGGGGGTGGGGAGCTCAGCGCTGCCGTAGAGATGTGAGCAAGGGGCCTGTGGATGCGCACAACCCCTTCCTTGTCTTGACACTAGCCATCAACAGCCCATCCCTAGATCTCAGTGCGTCACACACGAAATCTCATACAACTCCACACTGTAAGGGTGTCGCTGTCCACAGGTGAGGAACACAGGGCAGAAGGGAAGTAACTTGCCCTCAGCCCTCGGCACTCCTTGCTTCGAAACCCCTGCTTCTCCCTGAGCTCCAGGAAGGCAAAGGTTTTAGTCTGATACCCTGTCCCTTCCCAGGTTAGTGCAGTGGGACTCCGCTCCTGTGAATGTCAGCCCTCCTATGGCATTGCAAGACTGAATTGAGGACACTGATTTGAAAACCCTTTGTGTGCGAATTTATCATAGCTGGGAGGAAAAGAAAGGCCATAGGAACAGAATGCTTCAGATGAAGTGGTTGGGCGGAGGAAAACCACAAAGTGAAGCAGAAAGAGCTAAGAAGGCCAGGAGGATGCCAGTGGAGATTGGGTGATGATGGCTGTTGGGAGTCTGCACCAGCTAGAATACTTTGCTGTGCTAGCAGGAAAATCTTGCCTGGTCAGGTGGCTTTGCTCCTCCAATCCCCTTCCCCTTCCCCCCTAATAGCCCCCGCACTCACACCCACAGCCCACAACCCCCTTACCTCTCAGACCTCCTCGAGCCTTACCTCAGACCTGGCTTCTGTGTGGGGTGGCAGGTCCTCACTCCAGAGTACCTTTTGTCAACTGTATGGAAAAGACATACCCCTACCAGGTTAGTTGAGATGATGCACAGCCTGTGGGCTTCCTAGACATAAGGCCTGGACCAGATAAAACTAAAGATACAGCTGCTCTAGTCAAGCTCTGGATGCTCACACCTGTAATTCTGTTCCTCAAGAAGCTGAGATAGGAGGATCGAGGTTCAAAGCCTTTCTAGGTAGAAAAAAATCTGTCTCTTACCTCCAATTAATCACCAAAAAGCTAGAAAGTGGACTGAAAGTGTGGCTCAAGTAGTAAAGCACTAGCCTTCACTGACAAAGCCAAGTAAGTGCCTGAGGACCTGGGTTTAACCCCTGGTACTGATGCACACATGCACACAAAGAAACAGCTATTGAGAGCTGCCTGGTACTGGTGCATGCAAGTGTGTGCATGTACACGCGCGCTCGCGTGCGCGCGCGCGCACACACACACACACACACACACACACAGCTACTGGGAGCCAGGCATCATGGGACACACCTGTAACCCCAGCACTCCAGAGGTAGAGACAGGAGGATGGGGAGTTTGAAGCCAGTCTGCGCTGTATAGTGAGAACCTACATAGTGAAGAGGTGAAAGTGAAGGTCATTTGTCTACATTGCACTTGGGGCTGTGAGCCAGAGTCCTTATCCTGTGGGCTCACTGAAAGGTGGGCGTGGGGTGGAAAGGTAGGATCTCTAGTATATGGGAGCACACGTTACTCAGGCTGAGTATGCTTTGTCCATTCACCTGCACCGTGGCAGCCCTCCTTGTATGTCTTTCCAACTGATCACCTGGGCCTTGCCCTAAGCCTTAGATTGCCAATTGAAAATTCATGAGAAGATTTCAAAATGAAAAGCTTTAAGCATGGCAGAGAGAATGCTAAAGCTTCCTATTGGTAGATGACATTAGTCTAGGATGAGTGAGAATGGATCTGAGTAAACAGGGGAAGAGATTTCTTCCTCCTTCGTTTCAACTGACCCTTTTGTGGGGTTAGAGTGGATATTCCTAACCCCAAAAGAGTCAGGCACTCATTTATCTAAGTTGTAGTAAGGAGTGTGGATAAAGTGCTCTGCAGAGAAAGTGGGCTGGGTGACTCACGCCTATAATCCTAGCTGCTTGAGAGCTGAGACTGGGAAGATTGCTGTTTCAGGCTTGCCCAGGAAAGACATCTTGATATTGGCTTCTAAGTTGATTTGGTTTGGTTTTTTGCCAGTCCTAGATCTTGAACTCAAGGCCTGGGCACTGTCCTTGAGCATCTTTTGCTCGAGGCTAGCCCTCTACCACTTGAGCCACAGCTCCACTTTCAGCTTTTTTGGTGTTTACTGGAGATAAGAGTCTGAAGGACATTATTGCCTGGGCTGCTTTGAAAGGTGATACTCAGATCTCAGCCTCCTGAGTAGCTAGAATTACCAGCGTGAGCCACCAGTGCCCAGGAGCTCCTAAATTGAAAGTATATATTCATCTCCTATATAGCCACAAATACATTATGTATAAAAATAAAAATGTAAGAAGTTAGTATTGCCTATTAAGCACCTAAAATTAACATTTTCCAATTGCCAAAACAAAAAAGAACAAAGAAAAACTTTGATATTCATATTGGTTTTAACCAGAGCCATCAAGATACACATATTGGATGGGTGTGGTGATATACACCTATAATCCCAGCTACTCAGCAAGCAGAGGCAGAAAGCTCCAGGCCCAAGGTTAGCTGGGGGAAAGAAAACACAAGACCTGGACCCTATTTGAAAAACTAAAAGGAGGTGACTTAGCTCATGTTAGAGCACTTGCCTAGGGAGAATAACCATTGACACATTGCATTTGATTATACCTCCTTGGGTAACCCTTTAATCTAAACCCTATTCAATTACTTGTGTTTAATTTGTTCATCATTAGTTAAATTTAGATTCTTTGTGTGGGGGTTTGGGGGTGGGTACAGGTGGGTGAGTGGGTGGGTATGCCAGTTCTGGGGTTTGAACTCAGGATCTTGGCACTGTCCCTTAAGCTTTTTTCTTTCTTTTCTTTTCTTTCTTTCTTTTTTTTTTTTTTTTTTTTGCTAAAGGCTACCACTCTACCACTTGAGTCACAGCTCCACTGCCAGCTTTTTGGTGGTTAATTGAAAATAAGTCTCACAGACTTTCCTGCCAGGACTGGCTTCAAACCATGATTGCCAGATCTCAGCCTCCTGAGTAGCTAGGATTATAGACCTGAGCCACCAGTGAAGAGCTTTGTTATTGTTTTTGTTTGTTTTTATAACGTGTCCTTGGTTGCATGGACTTAGGACTGTCAAGTTTGACTATTGGTAAGATTGTGACAAGTTGATGTCCATTGAAGGATGTCCTCATAATCAAAGCATCTGTGAAGTGATCTCTAGACTGTAGGAAGTGTGTGTTCCTTACACGACATAGCCATTGATAGTCTTTGCCTTAATGTGGAGAGTTACAAAAGGGGAATTTCTGATTTACCATTCCTTCTATACTTATATGGACCATGCTTTTTATTTTTAATACAATGTGCTGAAATCCATTCTCATCATTCTTTGTGGTACTCAAAATTAGCCTAAATTCCACCTTTAGGCCAGCATCTGTATCTTTTTCCTAATGAAGATCACCAGTTGTCATTTCTGCAGGAAGCTCCAGGCCAGATATACTTATAGCATCATCTCTAGACACCATGAGTGAGCAAATCCAGAAAGTAGACTGGGGGATGAATTAACATTACTTAGTAGATTCATTGTTTTTATAACAGCTGGTATCACTGATAGTACACAAAAGGGAGACCGAATAGAAGTAGTTGCCTAACTTCTAGCCTGAGTCAGCTTCTCTCTCCTTTGAAAATAGAGGTGGTACTTTCTTTGAAGCGGTGTTAAGACTTATACCTAGCCAAATTTGCTACAAAGAAAGTACTCAGTACATTAGCTATTTTCCTCACCAAGTCTCTGGGGACAAATTGAGGGTATCAGTTTTTGTTTTTGTTGTCTTGTGCCAGGTGTAGGGTTTGAACTCAAGGTCTCATGCCCTTGCTTAGCTTTTTCAGCTCAAGGCTGGTATTCTACCACTTGAGCATACCTCCACTTCTGGCTTTGTTTCTGGTTAATTAGAGATAAGAGCCTCAGGGACTTTTCTGCCTGGGTTAATTTCAAACCATGATCCTAAGATCTCCGCCTCCTGAGTAGCTAGTATTACAGGAGTGAGCCATTGATCCCCACCTTGACAAAGTTTTAACGTAGGAATCTCAAGATTGTGTCTTGACTCTCCTCCTTATAGGACCTCAAAAATGCTAGTTTCTATGTCATAATTAGAGGTTGCAAACAGGGTGATTTTTAGCCTTAGAGTAGAACTGCACCTTCCTACTGTAGCAGGCTGGATACCCTGTGATTGCAGCCACAACTCCAAACCCAGGTTCCTCCCCCTCCACTATGCCCTCCCCCCACCCCCCACCCTGCCTCATGCTTAGAGAAACTGTGTATTGTTACCTGGTCTGACACCACACCCTTGGCTTTCTTGGGAAGGTAAATGGACTGTTCGTTTTCCTGGTTCTCAAGTAGACAGGCAGATTAAAACTAGATTTACCTCTTGGAAAGCCTCCTCTTTAAGGAAAAGTATTTATTCACCCACACTGGGTTTCTTTGAACTTCTGTTTCCTGGTTCAGTTTACATTCCCCTCTGCCTTTTTGAATCTGGCTTTTTAAAACCTGCCTTTTTGTGGTTTGCTGATTTATCTTTAGACCTTACAGGCTGCTATGAAGTAAAGGTTTAGACCATCCTGTGAACATGCCCTGTGTCAGTTGGCAGGGAGCGGGGGTTGGGGAGGGGATCCTGGTGGCTTGGCCCCAGATGCAGGTGGGCAGAGTCCCAGGCTTGCAGTGGGTGACTTCAGTCTGGCCTTAGAGAGAATAAGGGCTGTGTGTATCTCTACTCACTTTCACAACAGGTTCCTGTAGTGTGAAAATGAGCAGAAGTGTAAACTGTCCTAGATTCAGATCCTAGATCTTGCCCAAACTAGGTATGTCACCTTGAGCCAGCTCCTGTCCTTTCTGAGCCTCAGTTTCCTCATCTGCAAAATGGAGACAATAGTAGTTGGGAAGGAAAATAAAGCTTTCTTGTACTAGATTCTTTGCTACAAATTAAGTTGATGTAAAACACATTAACAGGAGCAAACCTATTTTAATCATGTATACACATACTATATGGGAATCAGATTTTACCCAGACTTCTGAACTACAGAAAGAGGGGCAGGGAGGTGTTAGGTGGGAGTTGGTATCAGGGAATTTGGAAAAGACTGAAGGGAGGTAATATATAAATATATGCCTTGTACAGCTAAAAGTCTCTCTAGTGATAAAGATTGTCTCAAAATAACTTCTTGGTACAAATAGGTTTGCTAATGAAAGTGTTCTTTATGTCAAAATTTCCTTTATAAAAAGAGCTGCTTATGTATCTACAGTTTCTCCAAACAATCAACTTGAGGGCTGGGAATGTGGTTTAGTGGTAGAGTGCTTGCCTAGCATGCATGAAGCCACAAGTTCAATTCCCCAGTACCACATAAACACAAAAAGCTGGAAGTGGCAGTGTGGCTCAAGTGGTAGAGTACTAGCCTTGAGCAAAAGAAGCTCATGGATAGTGCCCAGACCCTGAGTTCAAGCCCAATGACTGGCAGAAAAAAAAAAAACAAAACAAAAAATAATAATCAGCTTGAAAAAAGAAATATGCTAAACAGGGAAGAGGGGTGGCATACTCTGGGAGATAACGTAGGGGACACAACTGGGAAGGGAGCTCTTTGGAAAACGTGTGCCTAGCATGTTTAAGACCCTTGGTTTCATCTCCAGCACTGAAAAAGTAAGTAAGTTAATGTAACCAGGTTGGAGCTGTAGCTCAGTGACAGAATGCATGCTTAGCATGCACGCGGTCCTAGGTTCAGTTCCCAGCACAAAACTAAAATAAACTGCTATCAAGTATTGCTCAACAGGTGTCAAGTAAGCCCTAAGTTCAAGCCCCAAGACTGGCAAAAAAAAAAGATTTTTCAATCACAGATAACATTTTCACCTTAGCCTCTGCTACAGCTACAACTACAACTACAGCTGCCCTACTTTGGGTTACAAGCTCAGCCTGCTCTACTAATGATAAAGATCAAAAGTAGGTAAGAAAAAGACCAGTTGAGAAAAGCACTATAGGGCTGGGAAGGTGGCTCAGTGGTAGAGCGCTTGCCTTGCATGCATGAGGCCCTGGGTTCGATTCCTCAGCACCACATAAGCAGAAAAAGCCAGAAATGGCGCTATGACTCGAGTGCTAGAGCACTAGCCTTGAGCTGAAGAGCTGAGGGACAGTGCCCAGGCCCAGAGTTCAGGCCCCATGACCGGCCAAAAAATAAAAAAAAAAAAGAGAAAAGCACTGTATATGACTGGTTATCACCTACTGACTGTATTGATTTAATGACTTATTAATGAGTTACAATATTTATTTGTGCAAGGTCTTAGGAGAACTGTTAATGTAAAGGAGATTTGGGACAGCCTCACAGAGTGAGGCTCCTCTATTAGGCCTTAACTGGAAGAAGAGAAAGTAGACAAGGGTGATGCAAGGATAGGACAGGTAACTCTGTGAGGTTGTACAGAACCAGAACCTAGAATGAATGTGAAGGAATATGGTGCTTGGGGCAAGTAGTGCTGTACATGCTCGATCTGAAGACCAGCATAGAGAGAGGATATAGAATATGGAGGGAGCAGGGATGAGACCTGAGTTCCTGCAGTAGTTCTAGAAACAGAAGATACAGAAGAATCTGGGCTGCCTCCCAGGTCTTGGGCAGTTGATGGCTAAGAAATATTCACAGCAGGGCTAAAGACAGGGGAATTCTGCTAGACTGATTCATGTGGAAGATCCAATTGGAGTTGACAAGGGCACAACTGGGTGCACATGATAGGCAGTAGCTCCAATGATGTTAATTCAATACCACCAGACTGAAGGTGCTTTGTGCACCAAGCTCCTCCCCTAAGTCCCTTCCCAGTTTCTGCTCTTTCATGTCCTATCATTGGACCTGTTGCAGTAGAGCCTGTGGACTTGTAATGATAGCCCAGTGAAGACCTTGCAGGGCCTTGAAAGACTGTGAGTTAGTAGGTATGGAGTAAACCCCACAGAACACAACTTGGAGAGGGAACAAGAGGCCTGCCTTTTAGCCATCCTCTGCCAGATGGCTGGAGTCACACCATAGTGGGAGGAGAAAAGCAGGTAGTCTATTGCTTTTACAAGCAAAGACATAGAGATCGGGGCACTGACCAAAGACCCTCAGGAGTGCTTGGGGCTACTGACTGCCCTGATCCCCAGTGTCCTGAGTACTTCTGTACTAATGCCTACAGGAGGTGAGAGCCCGTGGTCTGGAAAGGTAGCCTTTGATCCCTAAGCCAGCTCCTTCCATGGAGCTTTCACAGAGCCTGCGTATGAAACCTAGTATTTTGAAGAGGAGGACTAATTTGGCCTTTTTTTTCAATGACAGAGGCCTTAAAAATTGTGCAAATTATTACATAGAAAAAAAAAAAGAGGTGGAAGAGACTAGGGTCCTGGGAAAAAGAAAATAGGGAGATTAAAGCAGATTTTGGGATGAATATATGCTTAGCTGCATCTAAGCATCTGCCTGCCTTGGCCCTAATCCCCTAGTATCCTCCCCAGATGCTGCTTCCAAAAGGCAGACTCCTCCCCTTCCATGGCGGCCATCCACCCCTTTCTGTTGAACCTCCCCACTGTCTCACAGCCCATCTGCTCGAAGTTTTTGCCAACACATTTGTAATTTCATCATGGGCTTCTCTTCAGACACTCCAGATGGTTAATCCTTTTCTGCAATATCAAATTGCCCCATTAGACTGGGGAAGAATCAAAAGAGAACTGTCTCCTCAGGCAAGGCAGCTGAGCATCTCCCACATGCAGCCCAACTTCCCTACTCTAGAAAGTGAGTCTCGTGACAGTCAGCCTCCTCAGAAGGCAGACACCTTGTGAGAAGTACTTGCAACTTTGGGAGGGCCTCCATAGGCCTTTTTGTCCATGTAGACCATAAATGTGCTTAGCAAAGTCTTTCTACATGCAGCCTGGACTTTTCTGAAGGGCAGTACAGGGGCCAATTCCTCTTGGTGCCCTACCCTCAGTGTTGGGGAGACTGATGCATTCATTCCAGAAGCTGGCTCTGAGGAAGGGTCATGTTAGAAGCTGGAAGAGTATGAGAGGGAGCATCCCATGCTTTCTAGAACTTTAAAGAGAAGTTAAAATCCGACATGAGGTAGAAGGACACTCAGCAGTTCTAGATGCTAGAGGCTGTTAGATCAAAGGGGAAGAAAGGGCACCCTCAGGAAGAGGGCTATGCACAGACTCACACATTAGCAGTGATCCTACAGTCAGTTACAGAGAAGGCTGGGAACTGGATCTTGGTGGGAAAGGTTAGACTACCAAGAGCCAAGAGCATCTTCTTCACATGGCAGTTTGGTCCAGGAGCATGGGAACATGAAAAGAAAATCATGCCAGAGGGCTGAGTGCCCAATGTAAGTCTGGTAGGTAGAAAGAAATGGCATGGTCACAGCCATTCATAAAACCCTTGGAAAGGGCTGGGAAGGTGGCTCAGTGGTAGAGTGCTTACCCTGCATGCATGAGGGCCTGGGTTGATTCCTCAGCACCACATAGGCAGAAAAATCTGGAAGTGGCACTGTGGCTCAAGTAGTAGAGTGCTAGCCTTGAGCTGAAGAGCTGAGAGACAGTGCCCAGGCCCAGAGTTCAGGCCCCATGACTGACAAAAATAAAAAACTTGGAAAAAAAGAATTCAACTAATAGGGCAGCACTGATATAGTAACTAGGTCTGGAGTCTTAAATCTCAAAATAATTTGTTCCTTGAGCATACCAATCTTTAGCTAGTGGGTATTTATATATCTTTCATAGAAAGGAGTCTGAGTCTGAGTCCTGTGGGTCCTTCACCTCCCTGAAATGGGGGAATGGGTTCTGGCTGGGTCTTCCTCATTCATACAATAGTGATGGATGGTAGTACTGTCTGTGTCAAGAGATGAGAGGACTGTTAGGTGAGCATATGCTTATGTAGCCTGCAGTCTACACACATATTCCTCTTTTCCTTCAGACCAGCAATGGCTAGCTCACTAAACATTTAGTCACCAAGGAAGCTATTCAAAACTATTGCTGAATCCATGTTGCAGACCAGTAAAAATTAATCTCCAGGAAGCAGGACCCAAGCTTGTGTGTGTGTGTGTGTGTGTGTGTGTGTGTGTTAATATATGTGTGTTAATTCCCTTGTGATTCTAACAGCCACTCATCAAATATTAAGTCATTTCAACTCTAAGGAGTAGTTAATTGTAGTTGTTGTATACCAAGAGGAGTTAAGAAATATGGATACCCAAATCTAGTTAGACAATAATCATTTCTCATTTTTTCCCTTTCCAGTAGTATATTCCAGTATCTCAGTCTCCTGCCATGTCTGACCCCATTACACTGAATGTTGGGGGGAAGTTGTACACAACTTCACTGGCAACCCTAACCAGCTTCCCCGACTCCATGCTCGGCGCCATGTTCAGTGGGAAGATGCCCACCAAGAGGGACAGCCAAGGCAACTGCTTCATTGACCGCGATGGCAAAGTGTTCCGCTACATCCTCAACTTCCTACGGACCTCCCACCTGGACCTGCCTGAGGATTTCCAGGAGATGGGCCTACTCCGGAGGGAGGCCGACTTCTACCAGGTACAGCCCTTGATTGAGGCCTTGCAGGAGAAGGAGGTGGAGCTCTCCAAGGCCGAGAAGAATGCCATGCTTAATATCACACTGAAGCAGCGTGTGCAGACGGTACACTTCACTGTGCGGGAGGCACCTCAGATCTATAGCCTGTCATCCTCCAGCATGGAGGTCTTCAATGCCAACATCTTCAGCACATCCTGCCTCTTCCTCAAACTCCTGGGCTCCAAGCTCTTCTACTGTTCCAATGGCAACCTTTCGTCCATCACCAGCCACTTGCAGGACCCTAACCACCTGACTCTGGACTGGGTGGCCAATGTAGAGGGCCTGCCTGAGGAGGAGTACACCAAGCAGAATCTCAAGAGGCTCTGGGTAGTACCCGCCAATAAACAGATCAACAGTTTCCAAGTCTTCGTAGAGGAGGTGTTGAAAATTGCTCTGAGCGATGGTTTCTGCATAGATTCTTCTCACCCCCATGCTCTAGATTTTATGAACAACAAAATTATTCGATTAATACGGTACAGATAAAATAGAAAAAAAAAAAAACCAAGGAGCCACATAGGGGTGGGTTTCCCAAGAAGCTCCACATCAGCCAAGGCCTTGGAGAGTGTCTCTTCAGTGGTATGAGGCAGGGGACTATACTAATGTGCATTCATTGCGTAGCAGGACTTGATTCCCTCATAATGAAATCCACCTTTTGGAGTCCACTTGTCCTTTGAACAGAACCATCTTTTCCTTGCCATTTTGAGCTGGAAATGGGCAGTTTATTATGACAAGAGTCAGCAGATGTGTACAAGAGGAGTCCACAGGTGGCCAGGACAAAGGAGAAGCCATTTTGTCATGGACTCATCTCTGTACCATTAGCCAGTGCCTCATCTACCCATCTGTACAAAGAGCCTCTGGGAGAAGACAGTGTGAAGTGAGAATAAGAGGTTCCTTTGGGATTCTCAGGATGTAGAGGGCTCAGCAGATCCAATCATGCCTGCTCTTCCTTCTTTAGGATGTGCCGTGATCTTAGACTCATTTTCCCAGGGTGACCATGTTTGGCTGGCCTGGAATGTAGTGTGTTCAAAGAGCTCTTTTGTGGCCCCCACTCAGGGAGAAAGTTGAGTATGGCCTAAAGGAGTGAGTAACTGGGCAAGGTTCAGACAGTGAGGATGTCCTGCTTGAGGCTGAATCTAGTGATTTCTGGCTTCAGAAAGGAACCACTGTCCTTGCAAAGTTGTGAAAGCCCCTGAAGCCAATATAATGAAAGGCACTTCATGATCCAGCCTACTGCTTCACTTCTGTAATCCTTTTCCCCAAAATTGGAAGTGTCATGGAAACATGTCAGTTTAAACAAACATTATGATTCTCAGGGTTGGAAAATAATGTAGTAGTTGTTTAGTTCTCCCCTGTCTCCAGGACATGCCAGCACATTTGAGGATGAGCATCACATAGGCCTGCATACATATTCCTGGTGTCAGAAAGCTTACTATCCCTAAGGCAGCTCCTGCCACAGTTGGATGGTTCTGGCTGTTAGAAAACTTTCCTATATTGAACCAAAATCAGTCCTGCCATTTCCATGTGCTAGATCTCGGTTCCAGCCCTTCCTTCTCACCTATTTGTGTAACTTTCCAGTCACCTCAAGAAGCAAGAAGCCAGACACTTACTCGAAAATACTATTACTCAGAATTTGAATTGCCCTTGGGATATTTGGAACCAAAGTTGGCCACTTCCATACCTTGCAAATCAGTCCCCCTTCGTTATTGCTCTACCTTGCTTGTGACCCCCCACTTCCTCCACCCTCCTCACCATTTTCATTTGGGAGCTGAAATATCACTGCCAGGGCCATCCAGAGGAAGGAGATGAGGTCTTGCAAAGAACCCAGGAGTGGTCGAAACCTTCACACTGCCTTTAGAGTAAGTGTCTGGCCCACAACACTTCTCTGAAAGAGGCAACTTTCCATATAGTCCTTGGGATTCATGAAGAGTAAGAAACCCCAAGCTACCACTTCCCTGTGGATGATGAGCCTTGCAGGCCCACAAACCACACATCATGATTCATCCCTGTAGTGAAAGTGGCTTTTGAAGTCCACATAGGGGAGGGGCTTGACACAGACATCCATATGAGGTGGACCAAGCAGAGGGCTTTGCATACTTACACTTTGTGCACAGGAAGCTTGAATAGTGGGCCATAGGCAAAGCCAGGTCCTTTAGACAACAAAGCTTGTCCCTTGAACAGCTGAACCCATGAATCTCTAACAGCTCTCCTGGGCCACCATGCCAGAGGTACTCAGAAAACCCCTCAAAGTAGGCCAGATTTAAACAGTTGAAATTGTAACTACAGCAAAATAATTCAAAGAAGTCTAGTAAATCACTACTGCCCTGTTTTCTCTCCATAAAACTGCTTTCTCCATATTTTTGGTGCTTCCTAATTCAGGCAACTTGACTTTAGAGAAAGTATGGAACCTGTAAAGCCACTAACATGTTGTGTGACTATGCACCTCACTGAGCCGCCTCTGATTCTGCATCTGTGAAATGGGCATAACAGTAATACATAACCCTACCTACCTCACAGGGATGTTGTGAGGATCAAATGAAATAATGTATGTGAGAATAAAGACAAATGATTAGTATTGTGTATCTGTTTTCCATGGGGAAGAAACCCTAGTCTTGAATCAGAGAGACTCAGATTTAAATCCTGGCTCCCTCACTTGCTATGTAACTTTGGCCAAGTTACTGAGCTTCTCTGGTTGTTTTCCTCATTGGGTAACAACTCACACCTTCCTGGATTATGAGCCTTAAGAACGTTATTGGAAATCCCAACCAGCCCTAGCACACAGATCACAAGGTCTTTCAGGAGTTAGTTATGGGGCACTACTGTACATTTTAAGAGCCCCAAGAGAGTACAGCTAACAAGCCCTTAACAGGGCACTTCTTATGTGGCCCAGAGAATGAGGCAGTCTGGAAAATGCTAAAAGAACACAGTTCTCAAAAGGGCTGTCTGGATGGTGGAGCTGGACCCTTGAGGGTAGGTTAGATACTGACAGGATAAGCTAGGAACACAGTTATACAGAAAGCACAAGAGACTTGGCAGCCAGGCAGGAAAAACAATCGAGGGTAGGTGTGCACTCTCACTTGGATATGGCATGAGGAATGGATTAGGACAGGAGTACGTCCAACCCAATCCCATCTGGTCCACATGTGACTTAGGTTGGTTCAGCTTAGCAAAACTGTAAGAGAGGCAGGGGTGCCTTCCCAGTGGAGAAGGGAGCCAAAGTGGGGTACTGGGGGCAGGGTTGTATCACTGTAAAACCCCTCCCTCCCTGTGCTTCTCATCCACATTACAAGGACTCTATCCCAGCCCAGGGGGCAACTCTAGGCTTGCATCAGCTAATTGACTGTTTCTGCCCTGGGTGTAGTCCCAACCATGCAAAGGAATGACCAGAAAGGATGCCCCAGGGAACTTCTAGGCACCTAGGTATGACCACTATGGGGCCCAGCCTAACAAGGCCCTTCTGTGTGTGAAGGCCAGTTCAAATGCCACCTCAAGCACCACTCTATGATCTGTGGTCTGTCTTTGGGCCAGAGTCCCCACCCAACTTGTACCCTATACCTCAGTGTCCACACAGCCCTGTTCCCCATTTTGTAAACCACTGTGCAGCCTAAACATAGCACCCCAATACCAGATTCCTGTTACAAATTATTCCTGACACTCCATCTGTGTGGATGGGGGCTCAGCCAAGGTCAGCTGTGGCCAAAGCAGCAGCCCATCCCTTTCTTAGACCACAGTCTCTCCATATGGACCATCTGCATCTTTCTGGGTCCCAGGAGGCTCAGGACTGATGATGGCAGTTGGCAGGGAAACAAGGATCTATGATCCTCTCCTGGAGCAAAACAACCTTCATAACAGGCCCAAGCTTGTTTCCAGGCCCTGTGGTCCTTGCTCTAGAGCTCCATCTACATGGACAGCCTACTGCCCTCTCTCAAAACCCTGTCTGCAGAATCTTTGGGGCTATACATTATCAGCAGAATTGAAGAGACAATCTAGTGACACCCAGCCTACAGCACAGGGACCAAAAGCCTCTGAGGAGAAAAAGGCAGTCTGTGGAAGCCAGACAATCATGGAGCGCCTAAACCCTACCTGACACAAAGGGAGATAAAATAGGCTTTGAGGTAGTGACTAATTATCATGGAAAGTATATGACCCTTGCTACCCAATAGGCAGGGCATTTCAAAACCTTTGTCAACATTAGCTGGCAGTGCTAGATTAGTCCATTCTTTTCCTTATGCCAGGTCCCTCTGAAAGCCTGTGTTCCCTTTTGCTGGTAATTGGGTAAAGGCCCAGTTGAGCCACCTTTGAAATCCTCTAGGGATTGGTCCCCAGCTAAAGAACAAAGAGTCCTCTCTCTCCCCCCAATGAATTCTCTTTATAAATCTTGTATTGAATTTGCTTGATAAACTCTTCAAAAACTTGCAGATTGCCACACTCCATCACATCCATGGTTTCACAGAATCGCAGCACACACTGCACTTCACTGCCTTGTCTTCAGAGCATCAGTGTGTCCTTCAGCATTTTGCATAAGCCCCCCTTCTTGACTCCACCAGACAGTCAGTCCAAACTACCTAGTGCTATCCTATACCAGAGGAAATAGTCCTCATCAACTTGCAGTGTTCACAGGCAGTGTGGTACTGGCAAGAAGTCCACAACCAACTCCCCAGGGATAAGGCCTGGTTTGGAACCCAGGCCAGTTTTCATGGGGTGATTATGCTCATTTGGTTGATTTCAAGCCATCAATATCACTGACACGCTGGGAAGAGAGACATACAATGGGCTTTGCAGAGAAAGTGAGCCATCTGCAACACCTCCCTCTTGCTCTGTCCATCTGTCTGTCTCCCTCTTTTCCTCTCTATTTTCCATTGCCAGTATTGGGGCTTAAACCCAGGGCCTCCAGCGGTAGCTTGCCTTTATTTGCTCACAGCTGGCACTCTACCACTCAAGCCATACCTCCACTTCCAGCTTTTCACTAGTTAATTAGAGATGAATCTCTGGATTTGTCTGCCTAATCTCAGGAGCCTCAGATCTCTTAATTTCTAAATAGTTAGGAGTATAGGCATGAGCCACCAACACCCAAAACACCTCCATCTCTGTTACTGAATTGCATGTTTGTGAAAGCAGGGGCTCTTCATGTCACCAATGCTCAGCACTCAGTGCTTGATATCCATTTGAGATCCTCCTTAGAAGTAAGACATTTCTAGCCCCATGATGTTCTCTCTTGCTCCAAAGTCTCACTTCAACTTTCTTCTATAGCACTAGAAAAGACCCAAAATTCCTAGCTCTCTGCAGACGTGCCAGCCTTCTAAAAGTACATTAAAGATACTGGAATCAGAATGATTGGGACCCAATCTGGCATTGCCACTTAATGGCTAGGCAGCTTTAGACCAATTACCTACCTTCACAATTTCCTTATCTGTAGAGATAATAGTAGCTACCACATAAGGTTGCTGCAAGGATTTGCTAAGTTAATATTCTATATATAGTTTTTGAATGGTACCTGATCATAGAGCATACCTCTGATCCTGGCATATTGCTTAATAAGGTTTGTAAATACCTTAGTTTGGGTGGGACATAATAAACTCATCTTTAAAATAATTTTAAAAGCTTCTGTTGTTGCTAGGGGAACTAAGTCCAAGACCATGCACTTATTAGGCAGATGAGTTACATGCTAGGGGAACTAAATCCAAGACCATGCTCTTAATTAGGCCAATGAGTTACAACTCCAGTCCCTGAACAATCAAAATGTATTCCCCTCAGTTCTGGAGGCTGCTAAATCCAAGATCAGATAACAAGTAGATTTTAGTATCCTTTGAAAATTATGCATTAACCAACTTTACATCACTGTAATGAAATACCTGATATGGACTACTTATGAAGAAAGGTTTACTTCTGCTCATGGTTCTTGAACTTGAATATTGGGCAGCTCCATGGGTTTGGGTGATATGAGGGTGGCACTTCTTGTCAGGCGTGCATATCAGAGCATCTTAAGCCAGGAGGGAGAGAGAGATCAGGGCCCTACAGTCTCCTTCAAGGACATGTCCTCAATGACCTATAAACTTCCTTTTAAAAAGCCCTCCCATTGGCAAAGGCCCAAGTCTTTAATACACAGACCTTGGAACACATTCTGTATCTAAGCTATCACAGCTCATTTTCTTGTCTGTGCAAGGCCATCTTCCCTGTGTCCACACATTAGAAAGGGAAAGGAAGCCCTCCTTTTAAGGGCATTAATCCTGGAAGTGGTGCTGTGGCTCAAATGGTAGAGCACTAGCCTTGAGCACAAAGAGGCTCAGGGACAGCACCAGGCCCTGAGTTCAAGCCCTACAACCAAAAAAAAAAAAAAAAAACCAGTAAAACCATTAATCCTTCATGAAGGATCTCCCCTCAACATAATCACAGAAAGTCATGATAATAACAATCATAATCATAATCCCCAGCAGCACTTAGTACAGATGAACCCTAAACCTTCCTCCCTTGGGGAGGCTAATAGAGAAGAGAAACAGATGAACAAATTCTAATATTTTAGCCAGAGCTATTGTGTCTCCAGGCAGAGTGGGCCACATCAACAGCCCATAATGCCTATCCCATTTCATAGTTTACAAAGCATTTAACTTCCTTTTCTTCATTTAATCCCTCAACAGAGTTCTGTACAGACAAACTGCACAGAAAGTGCTTTATTTTCTTTTTAAAGTATTTTAAGACACACACACACACACACACACACACACACACACACACACACACACACACACACACACACCAAGTTGTCCCCAAACTCACTATCCTCCTGCCTCAGTCTACGGAATGCTGAGATTACAGGCATGTTCTGCCATGCCTAGGTAGAAAGTACCTAGGAAACTGAGGTGAGATGCTTTGGCTACGCTTATACTGCATGTAAGTGTAGTTTCTAGCACATAGTGGGCCTTTGGCTAATAGTAAATTAAATGTCATTAATTTAAGCAATCAAACTGAGGCAAGAGCCCAAACTAAATCTTCCTTTAGGATTCTTTCTATTCAACTATGGGTCAAGGATAGGGCTAGGCCTCCAAGTGCCAGGACTCTGCCACTGATGTTAGACCTTGAGAAAATGCAGCATGAGAGAGTTCTTCCAGGCAGAGCTGGATTAGAAGAATCACCATCTCATCCAAACAAAAAGACTAGAGAGCCCATGAGGGGACTGTCATAAAGGCTTCAGGCTGTCACCCATCTTGGGATATGAACCTTTTAATATGATACTAAGTAACTGAGGGGTCCTATGGTCTCTATTTTCCAATGTGAAATACTGGACTGTGTTAAGTGCTGCTAGGGATCAAGAGACCAGGTAAATGGACTCACTCTTGGCAAGTCAGACTGCTAACCCTCCTGTGAGTATAATCAAGAAGCTTTGGTGATAGGGGCATACGCCACTGAAGCACAATGCTCCCATCTCTTTAGAAGAAAAGCCAGGGGAGAGAATTTGAATTCCCTGCCTCCTATTCTAGGTTCTCCAATGTTTGACTGCGAAAGGAGAGGGGAATCTACTGGAGACTACCAAGATGTGTCATTTGTTGGCTATTTTGTGTCACAGAATCTGAGGGT